GTCGGTTTATATCTAGTCTCTCTTCCATTCCTTCCTCAGCTTTTACACAATCTCTCACAGGGACTTTACCACGGGACAGGATGAGGGCACAGGGTGCCAGCCAGCTAATCCCGAGCGTTGATTATAGGTTAGCCTTGGCATGTTGTTGGGTTTTTTTGGTCCTTCTCAAATATGCCACCAGATGGCAGCTGGCATAACGTATCTTCCTACAGTCTTTGTCTCTTCCCCGCCCAAGTCAGCATCTCCGTTAACAGGCAGCACCAAGGTTACTACAACAAACATTTGCCGTCTTTCACAAGGGACTTTTGGAAGAGTCCTTTTGGAGTTAGTGTTTCCTGTGGTTCAGATGACTCTAAAGCAGGGATGGACAATAGCATGTCCTGCATGTTTAATTTTCCATTTCACAAGCCTACAAATATTTCCTATCAGAATAACAGGGACTTTGGAGGTGTTTAACCCCCTGTTTGAGCAGGACACCCTACACTAGTGGTGAAATGTAAAATTTGTTACTACCGGTTCTGTGGGCGTGGCTTGGTGGGGGGGGTAATGTGACTGGGTGGGTGTGGCCAACTTTTTTTTTTTTTTTTTTTTTTACTCTTAAAAGCATTTTTTCGGCTGAAGAGGTTGTAGAAAAAATGCTTTTAAAAGGCTCTGACGATCCCAGCTGAGCCGCGCGATCATCAGAGGCTTTTAAAAGCATTTTTTCAGCGGAAGAAAAAATGTTTTTAAAAGTAAAAAAAAAAAGCCTCTGATGATCGTGCGGCTCAACTGAGCATGGGGGGGGGGCAGGGATTTTTGCTACCGGTTCTCCGAACCACCCGCCACCATCGCTACCAGATCGGGCAATCCGGTCCGAACTGGGAGCATTTCACCCCTGCCTTACACTAATCCAAACAAATGACTGTGATGGAGTACCCGCAATTTCTGAAGGCAAATCGTTCCACTGATTAATTTAATTTCTCCTTAGTTCTAAGTTGCTTCTCTTCTTGATTGGTTTCCACTCGTTGCTTCTTGTCCTGCCCTCAGGTGCTTTGGAGAATAGCTTGACTCCCTCTTCTTTGGGGCAGCCCCTGAGATATTGGAACACTGCTATCATGTCTCCCTTAGTCCTTCTTTTCATTAAACTAGACATACCCAATTCCAGCAACCGTTTTTCATATATTTTAGCTCCCAGTCCCCTCATCATCTTAGTTGCTCTTCTCTACACTCTTTCTAGAGTCTCAACATCTGTGATCCACTATCCACTTTATGGAAGCTGCTGGGGGAACCAAAACCAGCAGACACACTTTTGACTGGACCTCTCTCATGGGAATGGTGCGACATCTGATCTGAATTTGCTTCCCACTCCTTTCTGAGGCAAATATAAAATGCTTGCTTTAAAAAGAAACCGCATGCTTTGGGCTCTGGCTGACTGTAGGAGGATCCATTTTAGGTAGAACATTTTCTGGGCACTTTCCAGAGAAGTATGTGTAGGTGTGTGTTTTTGAGTTTTTGTAGTTTTCTTGGCAAGATTTTCAGAGGTAGCTTGCTCTTGCCTTCTTTCGGGGGCCAAGAAAGTGAGACTGGCCCAACGTTTTTGTGACTAAGGAGGGGGCAGGCAGGACTAGAACTCCCAGTTTCCCAGTTTCTAGCCTGGTGCCTTGAAACCACTACACCAAACTGTTCTCCATCCAGATAGTAGGCCAAATTAAAATAAGTGAGGCATTGGTGAAATTCAATTTTTTTACTACCGGTTCTGTGGGCGTAGCTGGGTGGGCGTGGTGTGTGGCTTGGTGGGTGTGGCAGGGGAAGGATACTGCAAAATCTCCATTCCCACCCCACTTCAGGGGAAGGATACTGCAAAATCCCCATTCCCTCCTCACTCCTGGGGGAAAGATACTGCAAAATCCCCATTCCCACCCCACTCTGGGGCCAGCCAGAGGTGGTATTTACTGGGTTCTCCGAACTACTCAAAATTTCCACTACCGATTCTCCAGAACCTGCTGAATTCCACCCCTGAAGTAAGGTCCTTCTCTGTGGTCACACTTATTCTGTGATCTTCACCTTCTTTGCCTTCAGGAGAAACCTTAAACCCCCATTCAGTTCATTCCATTTTAAAGGACATGTAGGAAGTTAGCACCAACCCCTTTCCTAGAAGAATGAAATATTTTAGGAAATATTAAAAAGGGCAAAATATTATATTTCCCTGGTTGAGAAATGGAGAAACATGTTTTAAAGACAAAGCAGCTCCCACCTTCCTGCCCCCCCACCCTTTGTCAATGGACCATCATCTGCAACACAATAGGACCCATCTAGCAACAGAAACTCCCCACATGGCACCTGGGAAGATTACATCAGCCAGCAAGGCCAGCTAAGACCCCCACCCCCTGGGAGTCTGACAACCAATCAGGATACTCTTTCGGGGCCCCAGGAAGTTCAAAGCCAGAGAGGGCATAAAACCCAGAGACTCACTGCATCTCGGCCCTTTTCTGTTCAGGAACTCAAACCATGTGATCCTGTCCACCATTAAACCATCTTTCCAAGCAGTCTCCATGTTTCCTGTGTCTTTTTCCCCACTTGGAGCTGAACCCAGAAAGATATTTCTTCTAACAGACACTTTATCTTCTAATCAGGTTTTAGATGGGTTTATTTGTGAGGTGTTGCTGGTTTTTATTGTTTTAAATTGATGGTTACAGTGATTGGTGTTGTATGCTGCTGCCACAGATTTGGTAATAAATATGGACAGTTCTTGCTTAACGACTACTTGTTTAGCAATCAAATTTGTGGCAGCCCTAAATGAGTAGTACTTACAACCGTCTTTGGAGTCCCAGCTGTTGCAGCATCCCCGCAGACACATGATCATGATCCAGAAACTCAGTGCCTGGCTCACACTTACAATGTGACAGCACACCATGGCATGTGGTCTCCATTTTCAATCTTTTTTCAGCTTCCGACAAGTAGACTCAATGGGGAAGCCTGCAGGAAATTGTGAATGGCAGCCACATGATGTTCTCGTTTAATGAAGTTGTGGGATTCCCTTAACAACCACAACTAAACGTCCAGAAGTACCATTACTAAGCACATGACATTGTTCTTTATGACCACATCGCTTAGCAACAATAATTCTGGTCTCAAATTGCCGTTGTTACCCAAGGATTATCTGTAAACATAGGCCCAACAGAACCCAACTGGTTTAGTGAAAGTTGTAAGGCCCCATTAAACATATAAATTCCTTTAGAATAGGGGTGTTCAACCTTGGCAACTTTAAGACTGACGGACTTCAACTCCCAGAATTCCCCAGTCAGCTGGAGAATTCTGGGAGCTGAACTCCACAAATTGCCGAGGTTGGACATCCCTCCTTTAAAATAATTATACTTAGGATAAACACCAAAAGCAGCATACTGGCTGAAGGGAAGATGGAAAGCAGCATATTTATCAAACTCATAATTTCTTTATGAAGCTAAATAGTTGTGTTTTTGAATTTTCCAAAAATCCTTCATCAGTAAGATAGGACTTAGAGGGAATCTATGTAATTATAATTCCTAGGCCAAAATGTGTCTTGTTTGATTATGGTGTAATTTGTTATACAAACCCAGCCAAACCTGATTTATTAAAAGAAAATAGCATTTAAGCAAACCATAGACTGCATGATATGTGAATCAGGTCATTTTGTGAAGAGTCAATGCATTAATAGAAAGTAGGTTAAATTAAATATATCACAGAAGATAATGAAGTCTGCCGTATTTTAGAGCAGCCTTCCCCACACTGGGGCTGCCAAAAAATATGAGGGTCTATAACCTTCATAATTCCCATTAGGCACTTCCACTAGTTGGAATGTTGGGAATTGTAGTGACTAAACAGAATACCAGAGTTGGAAGGGACCTTGGAGGTCATCTAGTCCAACCCCCTGCTCAAGCAGGAGACTCTATACCATTTCAGACAAATGGCTGCCCAGTCTCTTCTTGAAAACCTCCAATGTTGGAGCACCCACAACTTTTAGAGGCAAGTCATTCCACTGATTAATTGTTTTAATTGTCAAAAAATTTCTCCTTCGTTCTAGGTTGCTTCTCTCCTTGATTAGTTTCTATCCATTGCTTCTTGTCTTGCCTTCTGGTGCTTTGGAAAATAAGTCGACCCCCCCTCTTTTTTGGAGCAGCCCCTCAAATATTGGAACACTGTCTCAAAGGTGCTTTTTTCAAGAGGCAACTGGACTTTCTGGGTTTTCTTTGGAGACTGGTTTTTCTTCTTCAGAGCTGAAGAAGCTTCTCGGATGAGAAGCAAAATGTCTTCAAAGAAAAACCAGGAAATCCAGTTGCCTCTTGAAAAAGCACCTTTGGGACAACCATGACCTGGATGACTGAGAACCTTCATAGACATATTGGACGATTGCTTTCATGTCGCCCCTAGTCCTTCTTTTCACTAGACTAGACATACTCAATTCCTGCAACAGTTCTTCGTATGTTTTAGCCTCCGGTCCCCTAATCATCTTTGTTGCTCTTCTCTGCACTCTTTCTAGAGCAACCAATCAGGATACTCTTTCAAGGCCCCAGGAAGTTCAAAGCCAGAGAGAGTATAAAACCTGGGGACTCGCTGTTTCTCGTCCCTTTTTCTGTTCAGGAACTCAAACCATGTGATCCTGTCCACCATTAAACCATCTTTCCAAGCAGTCTCCATGTTTCCAGTGTCTTTTTCCCCACTTGGAGCTGAACCCAGAAGGATACAATATTCCTACAATATGTTTTAGCCTTCAGTCCCCTAATCCTCTTTGTTGCTCTTCTCTGCACTCTTTCTAGAGTCTCAACATGTTTTTTTTACATCGTGGCGACCAAAACAGAATGGCAATATTCCAAGTGTGGCCTTACCAAGGCCTTATAAAGTGGTATTAACACTTCACGTGATCTTGATTCTGTCCCTCTGTTTATGCAGCCCAGAACTGTGTTGGCTTTTGATCAATAAGCTTTATTGGCATTCAATTCACTGCCAGGCGGCCCACAAACGACAGCAGAGCCTCGCAAAGCGGAAAGTTTTAAGAGAGTACAACATGAGTTTATTATACGAATTAATATTAAACATCTTTTAAGAAAAAAGTATGTATGGCAATAAATTTCTAAAAGACCAACATTCACAAATATCACAAACGTCTCTCGTGTGTTTTATTCCTCCCCACCCTTTGGTTGTCTCTCTTTTTCTTTTTTCTGAAGAGAGAAATCAATACAAACATTACTGTCATGGATTGTACATTGTTTGATAGAGGACAGGGAGAGAACCCTAACCTTTTGGGAGCTGGTCTTGTAGCCCTGAAAACACAGTTATGGAGTGGGGGGCGGAGAGAGAATATGAGAAACTGAACAAAAAGCATATACTCTACCATCCTAACAAAATTATTCCATGGATATCATTAACGGGAATTGCCAAAGGCTCGGAGCCAAACTGTTCTTTTTCAAAACTGAACAAGAATTCCTGGCAGGAAGCTTTCTGAGAATCTACACACAGTCAATAATCCTTCCCCCCCCCCTTTTTTTTTTTTACAAAAGGTGTCCAAACTTTGCTTTTACGCAACGCGACAGCAGTACAAGCAGTTTTGGTAAAGCTTAAAAGAGCATCCCATCTTGCTAATGCGGGGAAGGCTGGCATAGCAAAATATATATATCTATATATCTATATGGGTTAATTTTGGGGAAACTGGAGCGAGAAATGGCGGCTGCCTTCCGTTCTGGAATTTCTGTGAAATGCTTGCACAACAGAATCTAAATCTGGCCATTTGGTTCTTCCCAAGCATCCAGAGAAAAGCCCCAGGGTCGCAATAAAAGCGGAAAATTACCCGGTATTTTCAGTTAAGGAACAGCGGAGAGAGGTGGTGTGAGAACACAAGAGCTTTCAAGTTTTATGGATGCTTTTCTTTCCAGTTCTGGCCAAACAGCTAGCTTGCTCTGAGGGCAAAGACTAAGTATCCTAACCTAGGAACCTGGATTGGTATGATATTAATAATCAACTGCCTGCCCAGGTAAGGTGCTCAGTTGCCTTCCCTGTTCACAATTTATTTTGCAAACAAGGTTGTTTTCTCCAACCATCATAATAGCCTGGAAGCTAAAATGGAACCCCAGAGCAAAAAAAAAAAAATCCCTTTTTCCCAAGATGCACTGATGTTTTTCAATAATAATAATAATTTTTTAAAATCCTGACTTGGAAAGCAGAAAAAGAATCATTCAGGATTTGCCAGCACCAGCCTGGCTTAAGCCTCAGAGAACTCTCCAGGTCTTTTAGAGCAACATAGATATATATAGGCTTGGCCTGATTTTTATAAGCCTCTTAAGGGGGGGGCGGAAATCCCAATAATATGCCAAACAGAGAACTGTACGCATTGTCCGATTCTCTTCCAAACTGTGAGGCGAGGATTGGCTTCCAATTAAACCTTGTTGTGTACAGACAGCAAAGCTAAATCTTCCATCTATAAAACTCCAGTGAAGCTTACAGTACAGAAAGCCAACCTAACAGACCAAGAAATTTGCCAGCTGATTTCCTTACATCCCGTTCTCCCCGAGTAAAAAAAATAATCACAAAAAGCTTGAGTAAAATTTTACAACGTTTCGCATCTCTTACTGGGCATTTTGGTGTAGCCAAGTGCATTAGCAACGGAGAGGGCTATGCAGGTAACTCTTAACATGCTCAGGAGCCCTCTGCCACAGGTCCAGCTATAGCAGAGGCCGCAACTATACACGAACCGATATTTTTAAAATGCCAGGGGACCTGGGCAGAGAAGTCCTGAAACGTACAGGTAGTCCTTGGCTTACAACCATTTGTTTAGCAACTGTTCAAAGTTACGACGGCAGTAAAAAAAGTTGACTTACAATTAGTCCTCACACTTATGACTACACATGATCAAAATTCAGACGCTTGGCAGGGTGGCATGTATTCATGATAGCTGCAGCATCCTGGGGTCATGTGATCACCTTTTGCGAACTTCCCAGCTGGTTTCCGAAAAGCAAAGCCGACAGAGGAAGCCAGATTCGCTTAACAACTACAATGATTTGCTTAGCAACCATGGCAAAAGAGGTTGTCAAATCAGGCGCAACTCACTTAACAATCAACTTGCTTAGCAACGGAATTTCTGGTCCCAGTTGTGGTCGTAAATCAAGGACTACCTGAATCTGCATTTGCACGCAATTTTTTCCTTTTATAACGACAGGATTCTCCTTGTTGCTGGATTTTACTTCAAGAGCAGATATGCCCCAAATGACTGAACATATACAGCATATATAATCCTTTCGCTCCTACTCAAAACTCTGCATTAGACACATGATCAAAACAGACTAACATCTGGAAACAGGCAGCTTTGCTACCATCGCCTGTCATCGCAAGGGATGGAAACAGCAAAGCAGCTTTCAAATCCCCCCCCAAGTATTACCAATTTTGTCCTAAAATTGGTATTCTCCTAAATTTTCCCCATGTTTCACCCAGCAGATGCTTGACTGATTTTGACCCAGTAGCTTGCATGAATCCAATTACTCTCTGTCATTCTTTATGGTTTATTCAGTTTATTCAATACAGCAAGGCTAGGCAAGCTAAAGGTTAGCAACTGAAAGGTGCTTTTTCAAGAGGCAACTGGACTTTCTGGTTTTTCTTTGAAGACGTTTCGCTTCTCCTCCAAGAAGCTCCTTCAGCTCTTCAGAAGCTTTTTGGAATGAAGAAGCTTCTTGGAGGAGAAGTGAAACGTCTTCAAAGAAAATCCCCGCGCGGGGGATTATGGGAGCGATGGGGCGCTCCCATGTGACACCTCTCCTACGCGAGCTGCATTGGCTCCCGGTGGTCTTCCGGGTGCGCTTCAAGGTGTTGGTTACCACCTTTAAAGCGCTCCATGGCTTAGGGCCTAGGTACTTACGGGACCGCCTTCTGCCACCGGTAGCCTCCCACCGGCCAGTACGCTCCCACAGAGAGGGACTCCTCAGGGTGCCGTCGGCAAGACAATATCGGCCGGCGACCCCCAGGGGAGGGCCTTCTCTGTGGCAGCAGCGGTCCTTTGGAACGACCTGCCCCCGGAGATACGTAGGATCCCAGATCTCCGTGCTTTTCGCCGTGCCCTTAAAACTTTTTTATTTCATCAAGCTGGGCTGGCTTGACCCCCCCCTTAGATATTTTTAATTGCTAAATTGGTTTTAGTTGAGATATTTTAAATTTTATTGGGCCAATACTAGTTTAATTCTTTTAAAATTTTAAATTTTGTATGCGCTGTTTTTATCTTTGGCTGTGTACCGCCCTGAGTCCAGCAGGAGAAGAGCGGTATAAAAATCTAATAAAATAAATAAATAAATAAAAACCAGAAAGTCCAGTTGCCTCTTGAAAAAAAAAAAAAAGCACTTTTGGGACAACCATGACCTGGATGACTTGAGAATCTCCATAAGACTAAAGATGAGCGTAATATTTCTGAACCTCATCAATCTTTAAGATATGTGGACTTCAACTCCCAGAATTCCCCAGCCAGCTATGCTATGCTGGCTGAGGAATTCTGGGAGTTGAAGTCCACATACCAAGTTGCTGAGTTTGAGAGATACTGACTTAGCATAAATGCATGAGCCCAGAAATTAATGGCTATTTTCAAGGCTTCCAATACAGGTCCTACCATTAGTATTAACTCCACCCTTCAGCTGCGATCAATTAAGCTGCTGCCTACATTTAACAGGCCAATGTGCTTCCTTGTGCTTTTATCTACGTAGTTATAAAAAAAGTCGAGAGAGAAATTGTCACTTTAAAAAAAAGGTATTCCCTTATTTCAAAAACATAGGTGGGCACCTAGTTGCCAGTCTCAATTATGGTTGTTAAACAAGGACTAGTGTAGTCCGTCCTTCTCCAATAAAGCTTAACCCCAAGTTTCTAAACCATCTCAGCAAGGGCAGGACAAAACCAGAGGTGTATTCAGCCGGTTCGCACAGGTTCGCGCAAACCATTGGCAGAAATTTGGCCAAGGTCACCGAACCGGTAGCGATGGCCGGCTGGCCACACCCCTGAACCGGTCCCCCGGTCGCCGCTCACTCTCCTCGCCCATGTTCATCGCCACCATGTTCTTTGTGCACGCGCATCCCATTTGCAAGTCCAATGGGATGCGCATGCGCGAAGAACATGGCGGCAACGGCAGCAGCTTTTTCCGCGACCTCTGGTACTTTTCAGCAGCCTGTGGCCAGTCACCACAGCTGCAAAGTGGCTCTCAAAGAGGCAGCAGCTGGCAGGCTTCTTTGCCAGCCTCTTTCCAGCAGCGGTGGTTGGCCGGGGGCCGCCGAAAACTCCGGTCAGCTTGCCTTCCAGATTCTGGACCAGCCACCATGGAAGGTAAGCAGCCCAAACAAAGAGGCGGTAGTGGGGGAGGAAGCGGGGCTAGGGCCGGAGCCACTAAAGGAGGGGAAACAGGGGTGAAGGGAGGGCGGGAGCAGATAGGTGGAAATTCCAAAAATTTTCCTACCTTTTCCTGTGGGCGTGGCTGGGGGGGGAGTCATGTGACTGAGTAGGTGTGGGCATGAGTGATGTAAAGTTGGCCACGCCCAGACAATCACATGTCCTCCCACCTAGCCACGCCCACTGAAACGGTAACGAAAATTTTTGAAACCCACCACTGGACAAGACTGAGGGCATATGTCATGAGAACTATAAGAGAGACTGAATTCACAGAAATGGGAAAAAGACAATATATAGAATATAAGTTTTCACACCATCCTTATTTTTCAAACTGGTTCTCTTTTCCAGCAATGCAAGGAATACAAAGTTCTCAGAGAGGTTGTACGGAATCAAATTACGGGAGAGAATCCAAGTTGGGCTGAGAGACACCAGGAACAATGACAGCAGAAATGTCCCAGGAGGTCAAAAAAGTCAATATGGCATTCACCAACATAAGATCAGAATCCAACTTCTTTTACATGTAAAGAAGTTGGAGCTTGTCAGCACCCAGAGGCATTTTGTAAATGAAAAATGCTAAACATAAATGGTTAACCTTCCAAATGTACTAGAATTTTCTTATGAAAATTGAAATCAAGAGATTTAATAAGAGAAGGATATGCTTCCCAATGGTTTTCCTCTATACAATTAACAGAAAGATTTAAAGTGGATAAACGATTTTACGGTTTTGAACAAAGCAAGACTGAATTTGAATTAGAATTATATACCAGCGACGAATATGTTATTGCCAAAATTATAAACTTTTGCTGAAATATGAGAATAACTGAAAGAATGTATAGATAAATTAGGCTAGGAAATTGGTTATAATGTACAAATGGGCCAATAGGAAAACATGTAGTTGAAAGGATTCAAATGTTACGTTATGCTCTCTAATCTTAAAGAGAATTTTAATGCAATGATGTATCACCGGTATTTGTCACCAGAGACTGTCTAGAACAGTGATGGCTAACCTTTTTGCCGTCGACTGCCAAAAGCAGGAGCAAGTGGGGGGGGGTGTCGCACACGTGTGTGTCCACACCCATAATTCAATGCCCCCACCCGTGTCCCCCCCCACTTTTGGCACGTGATGGCAAAAGGATTACCAGTGAGTCTGGTAGGCCCATTTTTTGCCCTCCCCAGGCTCCAGGGCTTTCTTGGAGCCTGGTGAGGACGAAAACGGTCCCCCCCCCCCCCCCCCGGAAGTCCTCCAAAGGCCAGAAACGGCCCATTTCCCGACTTCCGGTGGGCCCAGAAGGCCCGAAAATCAGCTGGAGCTGAGCTAGGGCGATGCTCACATGCCCACAGATATGGCTCCATGTGCCACCTGTGGCACGCATGCCATAGGTGCGCCATCACGGGTCTAGAATGTATAAAAGGTACTTTGAATCTTTACTGGAAACGTGAACGGCATGAAGGGACTTTTTATCATGTTTGATGGACCTGTAAAAAAAGCCAAAACATACTGGATACAAATATATGCATTAATTCAGAAGATCTTGAAGTATAGCTGAACCCAGATGATTTTCTTTTGGGCTAATGGACAAACAACTAGGAAAAAAAAGTCCCAGAACTTTCGTTTTATTTATGACAACTGTAGCAAGATTATTCTATGCAGAAAACTGGAAAGGCTCAGCACTATGGTACCTACAACAGAGGAACGATTGGTGAAGATGATAGAACTTGCGGAGATGGTTAAATTAACCTCTTTGATTAGAGAAAAACCAATATCGACATTTATGATCAACTGGAAAACCTTATCGACTTTTTTGCATAAAACAGGAAAAAAATGCACTTATGATTTGTGGTAATGATGATTAGGAGGGGGAAATGAATAATAAAAAGTGAGAGGTTTTTTTTTAAAATCATGGAGTAATTTTATATTACTGTATTTTATATATACTGTATTTATATTTGCTGCAAAGGAATACAAAGAAATCAACTCTTTCTTTCTTTCCTTCCTTCCTTCCTTCCTTCCTTCCTTCCTTCCTTCCTTCCTTCCTTCCTTCCTCTCTCTCTCTCTCTCTCTTTCTTTCTCTTCTGCTCTTTATTAGTTTGTGTTGGATTGACTATGTTTTGTTCAAACTTGATTAAAGAAAATATTTTGAAAAACTTTGAATTTTTAACTCGTTTGAAGGTGCTGTCTTGACTTTTTTGACCCCTGAAAAAGGAGAAATATCTATCATGAACGGCTTCTGATTGTGGAAGGGATCTGCAGGAACACTTTTTCATGGAGGGGGGGGGGAATTATATTATTCTGATTATCACACTCAAATAGCATGATTCAGGTTTCTTTTCTATTAGCAGCAATCATTATATAATTATAGTAAAAATCATCATCCACAATACAGCAAAATCTGGAGGGCCATCCTCTACCCGGATGTAAAGGACACAAGTATCCGTTCGTTCAAAAGTCACGGTTCAAAGGTGTTTTAGCCAGAAACCACTTTGGAACAATGGTATGGCTTTCCTTTCATACATCTGAACCACATTTGATGACAGATTATCAGCTTCAAAGATTGGTGTATAAAAGATTAGGTCAGTTGTCAGTTTTCTCTCTCCCCCCTTTTTTGGTGGTTGGGGGAGCTGGATTCCTCAGAGTTGAAAAAAGATGGAAGAGTAAGACCCAAATTCTTAGTCACAGGATAAAAAAATCAAAACGTGCCTTCATGTTCCCGAACGGTTGAACTTGGGAGAAGCCTCGGATTGTTCCAGATTAGAGTCACCAGCATAAAAACTATCTTCCCTTTTAATCATCATGGTTTCTTGTTTTATTTGGCTTCCCCCCTCCCTCCCATTGCCAATTCTGGATCTAGAAAAGAAAAAGAGAGAAATATGGGAATATTAATAAAAGCTTGAACAGGTAGTTCTCAATTTACGATGACAATTGAGCCCAAAATTTCAGTTGCTAAGCGAGACAGTTGTTAAGTGAGTTTCCCCTCCACATTTTACGACCATTTTTGCCACAACTATTAAGTGAATCACTTGCAGTTGTTAAGCTAGAAACATGGTTGTTAAGTGAATCTGGCTTCTCCATTGACTTGGCTTGTCAGAAGATGGCAAAAGGAAATCACATGATCCCCAGACACTGTAACCGTCGTAAATATGAGTCAGTTGCCAAGCGTCTGAATTCTGATCTCATGACTGCAGGGATGCTGCAACGATTGCAATTGTGAAAAACAGACATAGGTCACTTTTTTTAGTAGCTTCAAACAGTCACTAAACGAACTGTTGTAAGTTGAGGACTACCAGAATTTAGAGAAGGGTATCCTTCTTAGCTCTGTGCAAAGAGGAACTGGAGGAAGATAAAATCTCCTTCGAGTATCTCCAAGCTGCTTTCTTGGTAACAATACAACACGGTTTGAAACTGGTTCTTATTTAGCTGCTTTTTTAAAAAGTCCATTCTTGGATTTCCTCATGTTCTCCTATTCAAGGATTATCTAGTTAAAGGTAAAGGTAAAGGTTCCCCTCGCACATATGTGCTAGTCGTTCCTGACTCTAGGAGGCAGTGTTCATCTCCGTTTCAAAGCCGAAGAGCCAGCGCTGTCTGAAGGCATCTCTGTGGTCATGTGGCCGGCATGACTCAACGCCAAAGGCGCACGGAACGCTGTTACCTTCCCACCAAAGATGGCCCCTATTTTTCTACTTTGCATTTTTTACATGCTTTCGAACTGCTAGGTTGGCAGAAGCTGGGACACGTGACGGGAGCTCACCCCGTTACGCGACACTAAGGATTCAAACCGCTGAACTGCCACCTTTCGATCGACAAGCTCAGCGTCTTAGCCACTGAGCCACCGCGTCCCTCTATTAGCCAGTTACACCTCTGCATATCTTTTGAAGATCAGTCCAGACCTGGGAGTTGCTATCACCTAGTAGTTGGAACTTAGAGGTTCCACTTCGTCTTGTTGTTATCATCACTGCTTTTTGATCTTGCCTCTTCCAACATGGGCATAACTACATTTTAAAAAAGCAGCACAATTCCACATATCTTCACACCGAGCAGCATCAACATGGACTGGATCTAGACAGGTAGTGTAAGACCAGAAAATCTAGAGGCCAATTAATCAGAATAGAGCAGGAAGGGATCTTCTATCCAACCGCCTGCTCAAGCAGGAGACCCTACTACACCATTTCAGAGAAGTGACTGTTCAGTCTCTTCTTAAAAACTTTCAGTAATGGAGCACCCACAACTTCTGGTGGCAAGCTGTTCCACTGGTTAATTGTCCTCACTGTTAGGAGGTTTCTCCTTAATTCCAGGTTGCTTCTCTCTTTGATTAGTTTCCATCCATTGTTTCTTGTTTTGCCTTCTGGTGCTTTGGAAATTAAGTTGTGGCAGCCCCTCAAACCTTGATAGTACAGTGGTTTAATGCACCCTGTTATTAACACAGCTGCCTGCAATTTCTGCTGGTTCGAATCTCTCCAAGGCTCAAGGTTGACTCAGCCTTCCATCCTTTCTAAGGTAGGTGAAATGAGGACCCAGTTTGTGGGGGCAATAAGCTGACTTTGTATAAAATATACAAAAGAATGAAGGCTATTGCTTAACGCATTGTAAACCGCCCTGAGTCTCCGGAGAACGGCAGCATATAAATCAAATTAAAAAAAAAAAAAAACATTGGGAAACTGTTATCATGTCCCCGCAGTCCTTCTTTTCTCTAGACTAGCCAAACCCAAATCCTGCAACCCGTTCTTCATACGTTTTAGTCTCCAGGCCTTTAATTATCTTAGTTGCTCTTGTTTGCACTTTTTCCAAAGTCTCAACATCTTTTTTGTAGTACGGTGACCGAAACTGTATGTAGTATTCCAGGTGTAGCCTTACTAAAGATTTATAAAGCAGTACTAATACATCATGTGATTTTGATTCTAGCCTCTGTTTATTCAACCAAGGATTGTATAAATATAAATTCAGGATAAAAGCTTGCTTAAGAATGTCGTTTTTTAAAGTCTTCTCCATTCCCACTAATTAGCTAGCAATCCCACCTATTTCTATTCATTGTAGCTGTCCTGTTTTAATTTTAAATTAAAAGAATATATTATTAACGATAAGGACATTTTTGAATGCTGTTTGGTCTCTGTCAACAGCAATAACCTTGAATGTTTCTGTTCAGAGTACCTAGCAAATGAATTGATGATTGTTGGAACAAAAATCAGCATACCTTATTGTACTTCTTTTGATGGTTCTTCTGCTGCAGGTAATTTTCTTCTTATTTGGCAGTCCTCATCTGAAACACCAAGATATAGGAGATGGTTGAAGCCTGCAGATCTGCAATGGCCCAACTTTGCAACTAGACTAGAGTTGGTTTCAATTCAAAGCAGTGGTGAAATCCATTTTTTTTTACTACCGGTTCTGTGGGTGTGGCTTGGTGGGCGTGGTGTGGCTTGGTGGGTGTGGCAAGGGAAGAATACTGCAAAATCTCTATTCCCACCCCATTCCAGGGGAAGGATACTGCAAAATCTCCATTCCAACCCCACTCTGGGGTCAGCCAGAGATGGTATTGGCCGGTTCTCTGAACTACTCAAAATTTCCGCTACCAGTTCTACAGAACCTGTTAGAACCTGCTGGATTTCACCCCTGATTCAAAGGCAGGAAAAGGCAGCGTCACAGAGAGGCTGTCCTTGTGGCCAACTATAAAGATGATTGAAGAGCTGTGGTGGTGGTGCAGTGGCTAGAATGCAATATTGCAGGCGTGCACTGCCCACAGTTAGGAGTTTAATCCTGACAGACTCAAGGGTGATTCTTTCCGAGATTGGTGAACTAAGGATCCAGATTGTTGGGGGAGGGAGGGGGGATAATATGCTGACTCTGCAAACAGTTTAGAGTGCTGTAAAGCACTGTGTAGCAATAGATAAGTAACTGCTACCGTATTGCTATTTCTAGCAATCTCTTATCCACCCCAGACTCCACATCAAGGATTCTCACCCTCCTCCAATAAAATTATTAGCTCCCAACACCAATGCCTTTGATTACAGCTGGCAGCCTTACATCACCCTAGATGTAGGGTTTTTAGTTTTTTAGCTTTTTAGCTTTTAATCTGTCAATGGGTTTTAATTCGAATTGTTTTAAATTTGGGCCAAAGTATGTCATTCTTTTAATAATTTTAAATTTTGTATTGGTATGTGTTTTAGTTCTGGCTGTTCACTGCCCTGAGTCCACTAGGAGAAGGGCGGTATAAAAATTGAATAAAATAAATAAATAAATAAATGTCCCAAAAGGTGCTTTTTTTCAAGAGGCAACTGGACTTTCTGGTTTTTCTTTGAAGACATTTTGCCTCTCATCCAAGAAGCTTCTTCAGTTCTGACTGGATGGTGGGGAATGGAAGGATTCCAGTCAGAGCTGAAGAAGATTCTTGGATGAGAAATGGAACAATCTGGAAAAAAAAAACCCCAGAAAGTCCAGTTGCCTCTTTAAAAAAGCACCTTTGCGACAACCATAACCTATCGGATGACTGAGAATCCCCATAGACAAACACCCTAGTTGTCTCCCTTTCTACAATACAGGTAGTCCTCGACTTACAACCATTTGTTTAGTGACCGTTCGAAGTTACAACAGCACTGAATAAAGTGACTTATGACTATTTTTCACACTTAAAAGACTGTTGCAGCATCCAAATGGTCCCTTGATCAAAATTCAGGCATTTAGCAACTGGCTCATATTTATGACGGTCGCAGTATCCCGGGGTTATGTGATCACCTGTTGTGACTTTCTGACAAGCAAAGTCAATGGGGAAGCCAGATTCACTTAACAACCGTGTTACTAATTTAACAACTGGAGTGATTCACTTAACAAATGTTGCAAGAAAAGCCATAAAATGAGGCTAAACTCACTTAACAAATTCTTCACTTAGCAACATAAATTCTGGGCTCAATTGTGGTTGTAAATTGAAGTCTACCTTACATACACATTCCTCCTGGAGCAGGAATTTATATTTTGTAGGCCCACAGCAAAACGAATGGTATAATTTCAGGGTCCCAAAACTCAAGGTGCATTTAAGGAGCTGGGCCAATTGAAGTCCCTAATTCTTACCACATGAATGTCCTTCAACGTCATCAAGAAGGTTTGCTGTTGAGGCTGCAGTCCCCATCCTGGATTGGCGTTAAGGAGAACATAATCCAAACCACACATCGAATGGAAATCTTAAAAATCCCAACCAATGAGAGGAACGCTGCTTAAAAACAGTCCTAGTTTGGAAGAAGATGATCTGAACCTGTCTGAGGTTTGAGACTGGCCTCCACACCACTTCCTGGAGGTCCACACTCAAAAGTGAGTGTCAGGCCTGGAAGCCATCTTTTGCATTGGATCTCCAGGCCTGCCACATTTACTGCTGTGGGAAACTGGGAGGGGAGATTGTATGGAGCAAGGGTGATATGTAGTCATAATAACATTCCTTTCTCAGAGAGTCAAGGACATCTTGCCCTGCACCTGGAGGGGTGCGGCTGGGAGGCATCTCCAGTTTGGGACGGTGCATTGATTGGACCATGTGATGGCTGCAGGGGAAGGGACTTGGACTTTCTGTTGGTTGGGGAAAACCTGGAAGCTTTCAGATTCGGGTTTTCCCAGATGTGCCAATATGATATCTCTAATAAAATGGAACTTTGAGGAACTTCAAGCCTCGGGGTCTTCTTTTGTTGGGAGAGTGTTACTTGGAACCTGACATTGGGTGATAAGATAACAAGATAAGATGATCTTTATTGTCATGCACAACAACGCTCATTAAAATGAAATTTCCATAACCGGCTCTTGAAAGAAGGAATGCCCATCCCTCTGAACCATGTCACCATCCCAACAAGAACAATAATAATAATATAATAACAGCAGCAACCCTCAAAATACCAAGTTATACAAAAAATGACACTAAAAACCTATATTAATCACAGTCCATTCTGAATACACAGCGGGGGAAAAAAGAGTCTTGAGAGTTAACAAGGTTGATGCTATATGGCAGGGGTCTCCAACCTTGGCAACTTTACGACTTGCGGACTTCAATCCCAGAATTCCTCAGCCAGCGCGTTGCGCTGGCTGAGGAATTCTGGGAGTTGAAGTCCGCAAGTCGTAAAGTTGCCAAGGTTGGAGACTCCTGTTATATGGAACAAAGCTAATATGGTTGTTTTGCTTCTGTGGTTACTATTTTTAAACCCTGGTCCCATTTGGAGCAGGAGGAGAGCCAAGAAAATCAGCCAAACTGCTGAATGCCCCCAGAACACAACAGGTAGCCAGCTGATGGGGAAAGGCCAAGAATCCTGCATTCAAATTCCTGTTCATCATTTGTGGACTTCGTTTCCCAGAATTCTCAGCAATGGCCAGGAGGACGAGGGAAAACATGAGGAAATCCACGCTAGAATAAACCTCTCTTTACACTTGAATTAAAGACTCTTTACACGCCACCAAGGCATGGAGTGATGTTCTCATTCATGAAGAAAGAACAGCAGGGAGGATCCTCAAGATCACCAGGTTGGGAGACCAACAGGAGATCACTTCATACAACCAGGAAAGGATACACTTGGTGCTTCAAAAGCTGTTTTCTTTTTGACTTCCTCATTTTGGTCTTTTCTGAGAAAGCTCTGGCAAGTTCAAACAACTTCTTGCGTGTAGCTAAAAAGAAAAACAGTGTTTAGCGGGAGGAAAAAAAGCAGTTATCTCCAAGCATTCTTATACTCAGGTATGGGCTTCATAGTGCCAGAGCCTGGTGGTGCAGCAGACTAAAGCACTGTTATTAACAGTTATTAACATCAGCTGCCAGCAATTACTGCAAATTCAAATCTCACCAGGCTCAGGGTTGACTCAGCCTTCCATCCTTTCTAAGGTAGGTAAAATGAGGACCCAGATTATGGGGGCAATAAACTGATTTTGTATAAAAATATACAAAAGTATGAAGGCTATTGCTTAACGCATTGTAAGCTGCCCTGAGTCTCCGGAGAAGGGCGGCATATAAATCAAATTAAAAAAAAAAAAAGTGAGAGGCTTAAGGACTAGTAACTTGATTAAGATCTCCATACTGTGAGAGGGATCTTGGAGTCCTAGTGGGCAACCATTTAAATATGAGCCAGCCGTGTGCAACAGCTGCCAAAAAAGCCAACACAGTTCTAGGCTGCATAAATAGAGGGATAGAATCAAGATCACGTGAAGTGTTAATACCACTTTATAATGCCTTGGTAAGGCCACACTTGGAATACTGCATTCAGTTTTGGTTGCCATGATGTAAAAAAGATGTGGAGACTCTAGAAAGAGTGCAGAGAAGAGCAACAAAGAGGATGAGGGGACTGGAGGCTAAAACATATGAAGAACAGTTGCAGGAACTGGGCATGTCTAGTTTAATGAAAAGAAAGATTAGGGGAGACATGATACAGTCTTCCAATATCTCAGGGGTTGCCACAAAGAAGAGGGAGCCAAGCTATTCTCCAAAGCACCTGAAGGCAGGACAAGAAGCAATGGGTGGAAACTGATCAAGGAGAGAAGCAACTTAGAACTAAGCAGAAATTTCCTGACAGAACAATTAACCAGTGGAACATCTTGCCTCCAGAAGTTGTGAATGCTCCAACAATGGAAGTTTTTAAGAAGATGTTGGATAACCATTTGTCTGAAGTGGTGTAGGGTTTCCTGCCTAAGCAGGGGGTTGGACTAGAAGACCTCCAAGGTCCCTTCCAATTCTGTTATTCTATATTCTATAAAAAATATAGTTCCTTCAAGATCCCGAAGTTTACAGCTGTAGTACATTTAGTCTTAACTGAAGAAAAAATAGAGGGAGTCTCTGAAAAAGGCAGAGGCCACCCTACCCATAGGACCAGATTAAATGACAACATGGCGTCCTCTTTTCCTAAAGGACAAGGGACTGGCAGTTAATTCTTACTCCAGAATTTACTTGGGAAAAGTCTGATGCAGCTACATCCACCTGTGTGTCAAAATCAGGGAGGCAGCAGATGTAAGGCAAACCTTGCCCCTTTTGAATGAGTGTGTGACATTCCATCCATCATCTTCCCAATTTTGACACTTGTGCACAAAAACCTACCCACGGATGCCCTGAACTGATGATAACAAGGTATTTGGGGAATGCACAGAAGATTGTTGTATCTTCTAATGTCTTATTGCTGCTCCCTGCTTTGGCGCAACTGATCCCTGAGACTAGTTGCAAATGATTGAAAGAGGTTTAGAAACTCTCCCATTCCTGGTCCAAAATCCTCCCCACATCATAGTCTCTTGGGCTGAGAGAAACAGCCAGCCCAAAGCCCACCCTCCGTACTGAGAGCTTTCACTGTGTGGGGTAGGAGCAGGAGAGAAATTAAAGTTTTCCTTTTCTCCAAATCCTACACCTTCACTACCATGCTACCCTGTCTGTTGGGACTTAATTTCTTTGGAATTCCAGCTGGTTTGATGCCATGTTGGGGGTTGCAAGAAAGCTGGCATCCAATCCTATAGAGAGGGGTCTCCAAACTTGGCAACTTTAAGATTTGTGGACTTCAACTCCCAGAATTCCCAAGCCAGCATGTCTATGGGCATCTTGTCTACTATGACTTAGAATAGAATAACAGAGTTCGAAGGGACCTTGGAGGTCTTCTAGTCCAACCCCCTGCTCAGGCAGGATACCCTACACCACAGGGGTGGGTTCTACTTACCTTTACTACCAGTTCACAACGGGATCGCACCCTCGCGCTTGCAGCCAATGACGACATCTGGGGTGGTGGGCGGGGCTTCCCGCCAGTTTTACTACCGGTTCTTGTGAACCGGTCCAAACCAGGGGCAACTCACCACTGCTACACCACTTCAGACAAATGTTTATCCAATCTCTTTTGAAAAACTTCCAGTGTTGGAGCATTCACAACTTCTGGAGGCAAGTTGTTCCACTGATTAATTGTTCTAACTGTCAGGAAATTTCTCCTTAGTTCTAAGTTGCTTCTCTCCTTGATTAGTTTCCATCCATTGCTTCTTCTCCTACCCTCAGGTGCTTTGAAGAATAGCTTGATTCCGTCTTCTTTGTGGCAGCCCCAAGACATTGGAAGATTGCTATAAGGTCACCTCTAGTCCTTCTTTTCTTTTCTTTTCTTTTAAATTTTATGAGTTAAAAAGTACAAACAAACATAAATACGATGATACAACATACAAAACAAACGAACATCAATCAAGTCTTACGACTTGCTCTTAAAGTTGTCACATCGGTAGACTATTTTTCCCATATTTATCTATAATCTATATATTTACATATTTACATTACATATTAAGGAGTGTAACAATTTAAGGATGGAACATATATTAATGCTTCACTAGTCCTTCTTTTCATTAAACTAGACATATCCAGTTCCTGCAACCGTTCTTCATATATTTTAGCCTCCAGTCCCCAATGTCAGCATTTCAAGCTGCATTTACTCTAGTGCTGACATAAGAAGGAGAAGCGAAGGCGTCTGGAAAGGGACGTTTGACTTTTCACCTACTTATTTTCCCTGGAGATAATATCCCCTAGGAGACGGGATGGGAGGGGGGAAATTCCTTTGAGCTGGAGTAGATTAGGGGTAGAATGACTTGGAAGATGGCCAATGAGTGCAGGGGAGTGGGGAATGGAAAGGGAGGGTTTGGGGGCTGGAAGTCAGTGTTGGCTTCGATGGAGTCGGGTCCAGAATGTCATGCTTAATAAATAGGAGTTTTTCTTCAAAGACTTTGTTTGAAATGCAATTTATTTGAGACGACCTCGAAACTTGACACTCTCATTATCTTCGTTGCTCTTCTCTGCACTCTTTCTAGAGTCTCAACATCTTTTTTACATCGTGGCAACCAAAATTGGATGCCGTATTCCAAGTGGGGCCTTTATGCAGATTCTCAATCATCCAGGTCATGGCTGTCCCAGAGATGCTCTTTCAAAAGGCAACTGGACTTCCTTCGTTTTTTATCCTTGAAAACATTTTGCTTCTCATCCAAGAAAGATGAGAACTGAAAAAACGTCTTGAATGAGAAACGAAACGTTTTCAAGGGACAAAAAACAAACAAACAAACAAGGAAGTCCAGTTGCCTTTTTTAAAAGCACCTTTGGGACACAGACCTTAAGATTGCCAAGTTTGGAGTCCCCTGCTTATAGAGAGACAATGGCAGGAAATATGCATCACGGTGTTGGCTTCTGCCCAGCAACGTGCCATAATATAACTCACATTTTCCCATGTGTTTTAACTTGTCCCTGAATAAGGCATCGTCGGAGATAGCCCCGCTGGGCACACCGGTTAAAGAGCGAGTGACCTCATCTGCAAGGCAAGACAAAGCATATTTAGGATCAATAGGAAGCAGCCGAAGCCAAGAGAAAGATTTTGAGCACTCTTTCTATCCCACTGGACAACTTGGATTTCATCCTTCCCAACCCTTGGCTATTCTGGCTAGGAACCAAGAAGGCACGATTGCCTTCCAGATTCCTAGCCTTCTATGAACACTGTTATAAAACAGTGTCTCTAAACTTCAGCAACTTTAAGATGTGTGAAGTTCAACTCCCAGAATTCCCCAGGAAAGCCTGCTATTTGCATATTTATGGTTCAGATGAATTTATTTGTTTATTTATGTAATTTAATGAATTTTGAAGCAGTTCCTGGAAAAAAAGGCATTCTTATTCTTTGACCTCTTCTATTTCAATTTCTGCCATGTGATTAATAAACAAAATGAGCTTTCATATTTTTATTTCTCTTTGTTCAACAGAGAACTATTACCTAAGCAAACAACTTCCTGAGGTCCCAGTGCAAAGGCTAAACTGCAGATGGGGCAGTTCCATTAAGGCCGTTAATTTATTGCCTGCATCCTCATCTTGTTACCTTTACCTTCTGTTGGGTGCAAAAGAAATAAAATTGTTCTTTCAGAAAGCCTCAGACTTGAACTTCCTTGAAATGTGCCACGAGGAATAAAAAATTTTCAGAAACTCGTAATCAGTCGGAATAACTGAATGTGAAAATTAAAAAATACTGATAATCCTTCCCAGATGGCATTAAGGTACTTCAGCAGCTTAGAGAGATATTCAACCCTGTAAAAGATATTCCTTGAGGGGACCCTTCAATATTTTATCAGGTTTTGAAATTTTTATAACACTCAAAAATTATTTTCTGTCTGGTGGGAGCTAAAATGTCTCACCTATTTAAGCTCCTGTTGAAAGAAGAGGATTGGGAGGAGGGGGGTTCCTTACATATTATTATTATTATTACACTTACAGGTAGCCCTTTACTTACAACAGTTGATTTAGTGACTGTTCAGTGTTATGACAACACTGGAAAATGTAACTTACGACCAGGGATGGGCTGCTGGGGGTTCGCAGGGTTTGGGAGAACCTCTAGCTAAAATTCTGTGCAGTTTGGAGAACCCCCAAATCCCACTCGTGGCCGGCCCTACGTACCCTGCCCCACCACTCCCAGGAATCCCCATGCGGCCCGTTTTGGATGCAGGTAAGTGCATGCGTGGAGGCTCAGGGAGGGCAAAAAATGGGCCTACTGGAAGTTCAGGAAGGCCGGAAATGTTTCCGGCCTCTAGAGAGCCTCCGGAGCCTGGGGAGGTCGTTTTCACCCCTCCGGAGGCTTGAGGAAAGCCTTCGAAGCCCAGGGAGGGCAAAAATGCCCCTCTCCCATGGTGCAGGAGGCCGACTATGCCATGCCCACTATGGCCACACCCACCCAGCAACCGGGCAGAGAACCCCTTGCTAAAATTTTTGAAGCCCACCCTTGCTTATGATTGTTTTTCACACGTATGACTATTTCAGCATCTTCATGGTCACATGATCAGAATTCAGACCCTTGGCAACTGACTCATATTTATGACGGTTGCAGTGTCCCAGAGTCACATTATCACCTTTTGTGACTTTCTGACAAGCAACATTAATGGGGAAACCAGATTCACTTAACCAGGTTACTAACTTAACAAGTGGGTTACTAACCTTTCAGCAATGATTAACTTAACAATTTTTTTAAAAATTTATTTTTATAAGCTGCCCTTCTCCGGAGACTCAGGGCGGCTTACAATGCGTTAAGCAATAGCCTTCATTCTTTTGTATATTTTATACAAAGTCAGCTTATTGCCCCCACAAACCGGGTCCTCATTTTACCTCCCTTAGAAAGGATGGAAGGCTGAGTCGACCTTGAGCCTGGTGAGAATTGAACTCGCAGTAATTGCAGGCAGCTGGATGTTAAATGCTGCCTTAGTAGGAGGCATTACCCATTCAAAATTACCACCGCATTAAAAAAAGTGATTTATGAACATTTTTCACACTTACAACCTTTTCAGCATCCCCAGATGCATGCCAGCTGGTTCATACTTACTGTGTTGCTGTGTCTCAAGATCGTGCAATCACCTTTTTGCGACCTTTTGACAAGCACAATCAATGGGGAAGCCAGATTCACTTAACAACCTCGTTACTAACTTATCAACCGCAGTGATTCACTTAACAACTGTGGCAAGAAAGGTTGTAAAATAGAGCAAAACTCCCTTAACAAATGTCTCACTAAACAACATAAATTTTGGGCTCAATTGTGGTCGTAAGTGTGAAAAAATGTCATAAGTCACTTCTCCCAGTGCCACTGTAACTTCAAACAGTCACTAAGCGAACTGTTGTAAGTCGAGGACTATCTGAAGTCGCAGCATCCCAAGTCAGGCAAACTCAATGGGGAAAGCCAGATTTGCTTAAAGACCGCATATGACCGCATTAAGAACTGCAGTGATTCACTTAGCAACTGTGACAAAAAAGGTTGAAAATTGGGCACAGCTCACTTAACAACCACTTGTTTGGCAACAGAAAATCGGATTGTGACAACACTTCTTGTGAGAGGAAGTGACAACCAGACTGCCAAAACAGAAGTAGATGAAATCCAGAAAGAAATGTATTAAGATGATTTCGTTTCCACTTGATTAAAGCACTGGAATGGAACAGCTTAAGCCTATTCTGTGGGAGAGCCTTATGATTTACAATACCTTGCAAAATTCCAAATATGATTTTAATTTAGTGGATATTTGAGTATGTTAGTAATCCCTTCTAACATAGCAATATTTTCCTTTTATCTGTACATGGCAATTGCTTTTGGTTAGGTAATTTCCTGATATTTCATTCTTGACATTTGAAATCAAAACCAATACGATGTAAAAACGTATTACGGTTTCAGATGATGGTCTTATGAAATATTTTCCATTTGGGGGAGGAAAAAAATCAAATATATTTTGAAGGGCTCCTTGAAAAAACAATCTTTGCTGAAAGAAAGGGTTTTTTTTATGAAGCAGATGGAAAAGGAAATGACAGGGTATTTTTGTATTAACAGGGACTTGGTTAAATCATTGCCTTGATACAAGAACAACCAAAGCATTTATCTTGTGATCAACTTCTTGATCACACTTCTTATGAGATGAAGTGACAACTGGCTATAGATAATTTTTTAGTGATAAATGTTAAGGGATAGCAATAGCACTAGCACTAGCACTTATATACCGCTTTATAGTGCTTTTACAGCCCTCTCTAAGTGGTTTACAGAGTCAGCCGATGGCCCCCAACAATCTGGGTCCTCATTTTATCCACCTCGGAAGGATGAGTCAACCTTGAGCCAGTGAGATTTGAACTGTTGAACTGCAACTGAAGTACCTGCAGTACTGCACTCTAATCACTGCACCACATCGGCTCATTAACCTTAATGCAGGTCATTCATTACTAGTCAACACAAATATTTGTTCCCTACAAAGTAGGATTTTTTTAAATAAACGTTCTCTTCCAAAACAGAATTTTTAGTGTGTTGCACCATGATATTGGGGGGAAAAAAGAGAGAAATTTAGTACAAAATTGTCACGACATCGTCATGTGACGTATCGCGACTTTTTCCTCCTTCACTAAACCAGGCATGGGCGTGGCCAGCACATGACACGACACATCTGGCCCGCAGGCCACGAGTTTGACACCCCCGGTATAGATCGTCCTCAAATAGCTGGCTGGGGTATTCTGGGAGTTGAAGGAACAACTTGCCTTCAGAAGTTGTGGGAGCTTCATCACTGGAGGCTTTCAAGGGGAGATTGGACTGTCATTTGTCAGGGATGGTGTAGAGTCTCCTGCTTGGGTGGGGGGTTGGACTAGATGACCTACAAGGTCCCTTCCAACTCTGTTAATCTATGTTAAGTCTACCCATCTTAAAGTCCCCAAGGTTGAAAAACTCCAGTCTGGAATAAGAAACTTCAGAATTCAATTCCTTTTGGGCTCAATTTTTCAAGTAATTATTGGCCTCACTGAAATTCTGGCAATTGTTGCAATCTTAAGGTTTCAATGGAAACCGTTGAGTGATAAATATAATTTTGATGAATTACTCATGAGAAATTTGTATTGCAGGACAAAAGAGTTTTTTGGTTTACAGTAAACTTGGGCCTCTCAAAATATTTTTGAGGATCAACTGAATTTTGAGAAAGGCGGCTTTAAAAAACCAAGTTTTATTTATTTTACAGAATTTGTTGGCAGTTTACTCCCATTCTGATTCAGCACTGGAAGGAAAAAATCTATATCTGATTTACAGCAATGATAAGTATATTTGTCAGTATTTGAACTTGTTTATTTACAACTATTTATATTGTAACAAGAAAATTATAATCTCCATGAAATTTCTGAAACCCTTGTTCATTCATTGAATTTTACTTTGTATCCATCTTTGCCTATTATATTCCTTGCCTATGTTATTTTCTTTAATGTTCAGAAAAAGATACCTCCAAATAAACTTGTGGTTTTTGTTTCGAGGCAAGGAAGGAGATTTTTGTACAATATCAATGAAAAGAGCCTTGGTGGCACAGTGGACTAAGTGCTGTTAAAGTAGCACTTGTTGCCAGCTGCCTGCAATTACTGCAAGTTCAAATCTCACCAGGCTCAAGGTTGACTCAGCCTTCCATCCTTTCGAGGTACGTAAAATGAGGACCCGGATTGTGGGGGCAATAAGCTGACTTTGTATAAAAAAGAACACCGCTTTGGGGGGGGGAACCAAAAAGCCCTACTAAGCAGGTATATACAAAAATATGAAGGCTATTGCTTAATGCATTGTAAGCCGCCCTGAGTCTCTGGAAAAGGGCGGCATATAAATCGAACTAATAAATAAATAAATAAATAAATTGGAGTTGTTCTGTTTAGTGTTTTTCATCTTTGGCAACTTTAAGACTCATGAACTTCAACTCCCACAATTCTGGATGGATAATTCTAGATGGGGGATTCTGGGAGTTGAAGTTCCCCCATTTTAAAGCCGTTAACTTGGAAAAACATTGGTTAGAACAACTTTCAGGCCTTTTTTTATCCTCCTTATGTTGCTTCTTCTTTTTTTTTGTTATGATCATAATTCAAAATAATTAATTCTCAGATTAGATTACCTGCATGCAAGTGTTCTTCAGTTTATTGGTTGAATAGAAATTTGAAAGTTTGCTTTTAATCTATATACTGTACAATTGATTTGAGTGACTTCCAGAAAAGACCACCATTAAAAGGGTCAAGCCAGACTTAATGCTGGAACCATTTTTAGATATAACTTCTGTGAAATGCAAATGCACCCTTTTGGGTTTTCCAGCAGTGGAAAAGAATAGTTCAAACGTCTGCCAGCAACTTTATAAAGCCTTAGTAAGGCCACACCTGGAATACTGCATCCAATTTTGGTCACCACATTACAAAAAAAATGTTGAAAAAGTGCAAAGAAGAGGAACTAAAATGATTAAAAGCCTGGAGACTAAAATATATGAAGAACAGTTGCAGGATTTAGGTGTGAAGTTTCTGAAAGATGCCCTAATTAATTCATGAGCCAGAGCCGAACTTCAAAAGAAATACAGTCATTTATTAGGAGCACCATTTCGGCAATACTTGGATGCAGTTAGAACTAATCCCACGTAGATTTACGTTCCCCTATGACCCTGTCTCTCCCCTCCTCTCTGGCCATGTCATAAATCACATTCTCTAATTAACCACTTCGGCTGGCTGTGAAATCCAACACCCTTCTTCTGATTGCGGTCAGGAAGAATGTATGGAATGCACTTCAGTTAGGGAAATCAATCAGCTCTATCAGTTCTCCCTCCTTCCTGCTCATGGCAACTTGAAAGCTTTGCAAGTTGACAGTTAGTCTTTCTAGGCTCTAGAGAAAAGAAGGACTAGTGGGGACATGATAGCAGTCTTCCAGTATTTGAAAGACTGCCACAAAGAAGAGGGGGTCAATTTATTTTTCAAAGCACCTGAGGGAAGGACAAGAACAATGGATGGAAACTAATCAAGGAGAGAAGCAACCTGGAATTGAGGAGAAACTTCCTAACAGTGAGAACAATTAACCAATTGAACAGCTTGCCTCCAGAAGTTATAGGTGCTTCATCACTGGAAGTTTTTAAGAAGAGACTGGACAGTCACTTGTCTAAAATGGTGTAGTAGGGTCTCCTGCTTGAGCAGGGGTTTGGATAGACGACCTCCAAGATCCCTTCTAGCTCTATTCTGACTGATCATTCCTAGGGGACAATATCAAAATCTGCAAGATGGCAGACTGTTGCAATTGAAGTCCCGCCCATGGCCTGATGTCATAGGGACAGTCCAACCAACCAACATCCTGCAAAGCAATTTAGTACAGGGGTGTCAAACTCACGTTGTCATGGCAGCGTCACATGATGTATTGTGACTTTTTTCCCCCTTCGCTAAACTGGGCGTGGCCAGCACATGACGCATCCGGCCCGCGGGCCTCGAGTTTGACAGCCCTGATTTAGTAGAATAAAAAGGTAAAGGTAAAGATTCCCCTCGCACATATGTACTAGTCGTTCCCAACTCTAGGGGGCGGTGCTTATCTCCGTTTCAAAGGCAAAGAGCCAGCGCTGTCCAAAGACACCTCCGTGGTCATGTGGCCGCCATGACTAAACGCCAAAGGCGCACGGAACGCTGTTCCCTTCCCACCAAAGGTGGTCCCTATTTTTCTACTTGCCTTTTTTTCGTGCTTTCAAACTGCTAGGTTGGCAGAAGCTGGGACAAGTCACGGGAGCTCACCCCGTTCCGCGACGCTAGGGATTCGAACCGCCGAACTGCCGACCTTTCAATCAACAAGCTCAGCATCTTAGCCACTGAGCCACCACGTCCCTATAAAAAAAAATCCCTAAAACTCCACAGACTTCTGAGGATCTGGTGGCAGGACAAAGTGCCAGACACAGAAGTCCTCTCCAGAGCAGGCCTGCCATCAGTTCACACCCTGCTGATGTGCTGGGAAGGCCATGTTGCAAGGATGCCAAGCCACCGCATCCCTAAATAACTCCTCTATGGTGAACTGTCTCAAGGAAAGCGATCGCACGGGGGACAAAGGAAGCGATACAAAGACACATTGAAAGCCTCATTCAAGTTCCTGGATATCGACACCACCTCCTGGGAAACCCTGGCACAAGATCGATCGACATGGCGCACGTTGATCCACCAAGGCTGCCAGGCATTTGAACAGAGAAGAACAACCACAGAACAAGAGAAGCGAGCACTCCGCAAAGCCAGAGCTGCAAATGCTGCAACAATGGTGCCCACACGTCTGCCCGACATGTGGCAGAAAATTTTGTGCCCGAATAGCCCTTACCAGCCACCTGCGGACACACCGTGGAGAAGCTCACAACCCGTTAGATGTCAAGGTCCTCTTCGAACATGATGGACTAACATCAGCCACAAAACTAATAGTACCCTTGGCAACAGAGATGCATACAGCCTAATATGCTGGTGTGGTCAGCCAGCAGCCTGCGGAGCTAGCAACAGAGTCAGACAGTGAGGAGGCTGGGGAGGACCATGGGTCAGTCCTGGAGTCTGGGGAAGGCCCGGATGAGGGCTCTGCATCGGAGGCAGAGATGAGGCCAGGGCCATCTGGGAGTGATGTGCGGACTCCGGAGCCTCCAGAGGCGGACAGCAGAGAGGCAGAGGAACAGGAGGAGCCTGTTCCTAGTGCATGCATGCTTAGAGCTGCCGGAAAGCAAGAGCAGCTGAAGCAAAAAGGACAACTCAGAAGTAAGGCCAGAAGATGATTGGCCACTCCCATAAAGCTTAAAAGAGCAGCAACGAGCCATTGGGTTCTTTGTAGAAAAGCAACGTTGATTCCAGTGCTTCTTGTCAGCGTCTCTTGAACCTTGTGGGGTTTTTGCCACAAAGTTTGCCAAGGACATCAAAGGTCAGCGATAAGGCTATAGGACTGGTTGTGAAGAATTTGTTTTGGACTAAGCTGAGAATGAATTAATTCTCAGCTGTTTTAATAAAATAAGTTTGTTCAGCAGTGAATTGTGTTTGGTAATCACTACGTGGGCCTCGGTCACAACACAAGCTTACCTGATAATATTGAGGACAAAGCGGGATCTGAACTGAGGACAGCACTGTTCATTCTGGATTTCTTTGATTCATACTTTAACCGATCTAGAGGACAGCACAGAAAAACAAACGTTTGAAAGGAAATTGCCAAGTTAACTTTCCAGATAAAGGACACTGTGCAGTTGACAGTAAAGCAATGTGATCAAGAATTCAACTGTTCTTAGAAAAAGTAAAACACAACTGTTGTGACTCCGACCCCCGAGCCCGTCTTATCGGAGGGAGAAGGCTCCGAAAGTGAAGGAGAGGAGTTGGCCAGGTCTCCCTCTCCAGGACCCTTCTCTCTGGCAATGCCTCAGGTGTCTTCCGAAGGAGAAGAGATTGGCCAGCAGCCAGGTATCTCCGAACAGTCGCAGTCGGACAGTGACGGAGATAAGTCTTGGCCGGATCCAGGCCAGCGTCGGAGAGACAAGCGCACACAACAGAAAAGGAGGCGTGCCAGAGATTAAGCTGAGTCACTGGACCACACCCCACAGGGGATAAAAGGGGGTGTGGTGGCCATTCAGGCTCTGTGATGGACAAAACTAAACAACTAGCGAGTCGCATTGTATCTCTGAAACTACGTTATCTGCCTGCCTTGGATTTAATACGGACTGGACTTGACAATTCTTTGACTTTGTGTATTTGTTTTGGTTTATCTGACGGAGGAGGAACACCTCCCTCTGTGAGTAAAGTTCTTGGCAAGCAGCTACTGGGTTGCTGCCAATCCTGTTATCGAAGGAATTTATTGTCTGCAAGTTTTATTTAACCCCTGGCTGACTGTTTGTGTGCGTGTGTGAGACGGGGACAGAACAACAACAGCCTACGAATCCCTCAGAAGTCAAATCAACCACACAGCCAACCAGCGACGGCATCGACCTGCAACCAACCCACGCAACCCCACTCAACCAGTACTTCACCTACCAGTGACCTTCACCTGACATGACCTCCCCATCACGACCCATTATAAGATGTTCATCTGACACACCCACACCTGACCCATCACAAGACCCTCAGTTGACACACCCACACCTCAGTGGTGAAATGTAAAATTTGTTACTACCGGTTCTGTGGGGGTGGCTTGGTGGGGGGGGGGTGTAATGTGATTGGGTGGGCGTGGCCAACTTTTTTTTTCTTTTAAAAGCATTTTTTCTACAACCTCTTTGGCCGAAGAGGTTATTAAAAAAATGCTTTTAAAAGGCTCTGAGGATCCCAGCTGAGTTGCCTGATCATCAGAAGCTTTTTTTTCTTTTAAAAGCATTTTTTTTACAACCTCTTCAGCTGAAGAGTTTGCAGAAAAAAATGCTTTTAAAAGCCTCTGACGATCAGGCATCTCAGCTGGGATCGTCAGAGGCTTTTAAAAGCATTTTTTCTACAACCTCTTTGGCCGAAGAGCAGAGGTGGGTTACAGCAGGTTCTGACTAGTTCTGGAGAATCGGTAGCAAAAATTTTGAGTAGTTCGGAGAACTGGTAGTAAAAAGTCTGACTGGCCCCACCCCTATCTATTCTCTTGCCTCCCAAGTAACCTTCCCCTGGAGTGGGGAGGGAATGGAGATTTTACAGAATCCTTCCCCTGGAGTGGGGTGGGAATGGAGATTTTACATTATCTTTCCCCTGCCACGCCCACCAAGCCATGCCACACCCACCAAGCCACGCCCACAGAACCAGTAGTATAAAAATTTGAAACCCACCACTGCCAAAGAGGTTGTAGAAAAAATGCTTTTAAAAGTAAAAAAAAACGCCTCTAATGATCACGCTGCTCAGTTGGGCATGGAGGGAGGGGGGCAGGGATTTTTGCTACCGGTTCTCTGAACCACCCGCCACCATCGCTACTGGATCGGGCAATCCGGTCCGAACCGGGAGCATTTCACCCCGCCACACCTGACCCATCACAAGACCCTCAGTTGACACACCCACAACTGACACACCCATCACAAGATCTACTGACCACACAAAGCCTTTATAAGCAGAAGAATGCAGACATCCCCTAAACCCATGATGGCAAACCTATGGCACGGGTGCCACAGGTGGCACACGGAGCCATATTGGTGGGCACGTAAGTGTTGCCCTAGCACAGCTCCAGCACGCATGCGTGCACCGGCCAACTGATTTTCAGGCCTTCCGGTCCCACCGGAAGTCGGGAAACTGGCTGTTTCTGGCCTCCAGAATGCCTCCAGGGGGATGGGGAAGGCTGTTTTTGCCCTCCCCAGGCTCCTAGAAAGCCTCTGGAGCCTGGGGAGGGGGAAAAACGGGCCTACCGGGCCTACCGGGCCATCGCGTGCCAAAAGCAGGAAGAAGTGGGGGGGGTCACGTGCACATGCGCGGGAGGGCGGGGCGCATTGAATTATGGATGTGGGCACACGCACCCATGATCCCCCACGCTCTTCCCGCTTTTGGCACGCGACGGCGAAAAGGTTAGCCATCACTGCCCTAAACTCTTCTGAAGATGCTATGGTACTTAGCCTGGTAATGAAATGTTTTGAAAACCAATCCACAAGCTCGGAGGATGAACCTCCACCCTTCACAGTAGAAAAACCCTAGAACTACAATATCCATAAAACATAGTTACTTCTTGACTTATCACTTATCACCTACTGACCATTCAAAGGGACCCACCTGAGGGCTTCTTATGACCCAGATCTGAAGTTCCAATGGTCAGCTCTCTCCTCACAATTGTGTGACTGCGCTTTGGGGGCTCAGTAACCAGGCCACATATACAACTCTTTGTAGGAACCCATGTTCATGTGACACCATTTTATGACGGTTTTGTTGAAAAGTTACTTTTCGGATTTGGCAAAATGGCAAACCATTGGTTCCCTTAACAACTGCAGCGCTTACTTAATGCCTACCACAAAAATAGTTTCTAAAATCGGTTGTGTGACACTTTCCAACCCACACAGCTTATGACCATAAAGGCAGACTGAGCAGGTTCCATTACTGTTGTAACTCAAGGACTGCCTATCTGTACATAAAACTCAGTGGGGGGAAAACAATATCTTTGGGAATCTGCCAGCCTGTCAACATGCCCTGACATCTTTGTCAGGGTCACATTGGCAAAATCAAGACTGTCACATGCTGGTTGGAGAGGAAAGGGTAATTATTTTTAATACGTTGATTCCTGAAAAACCTTTTACCTCTTTCAAGGGCCAGGAGGAAATCTCTGTTTCTCTGAAGCTCCTTCATAAATTCTTCATTCTGGAGGAACAGGGCAATCCGTTCGTCTTCCAAATACTGCTTCCATTTCTTTTCCTGATCCAATGAGCCCTGAGCCCCCTGGTTCCCAGGACTCTGTGTGCTTTGATGACAGTTTTGGGTGCTCTAGAAAGAGATTGTGTGTAAAAAAAAAAAAAAAGAAAAGGATCACACCTGCTGCAGAACTGTAGCAGACTACAATTGGATATTACAGTCTGTTGAGGGTAAAATTGCCCTCTGCAAAGTGGTGCAACGGACCAGACAGCGAATAGATACGTTGCTTAGCAAAACACACAGATACTCACAGACTCTGAACGTTTAAAGAAAAATAAACAGTCTTTACTTGTAGTATAAAAACAAATTTGGCTTCTCAAAACAAAGATAACACTTCTTCAAACAATCACGGTTCAACACAAAAACATCGTTTGCTTACAATTCCAGTTCTCTTCAGTAACACAGACACAGTTCCTTTCAGCAGTTCAACCTTCTATAGCAGGAGCAGAAGTAAATGAACTTCCTGCCTTCTTTTATGTCTGCTTAGCACAGCCAATTAGTCATCTTTGTAGCAGTTAAAGTTACAGAACATAGTTTTCTATATATTATCTACCCAACCGTAGGATAAGCATCCAACACAGTCCAACGTATTACCCACCGACAATGTGTTACCCACTCTAAATACAGAAATTTTCTACTTCCCACCTGCACCATATCCATTTGCTGTGGTAAGATGCGGAGAAAGTCATCCGGAAGATTCCCTAATAATGGTGGGTTCCAGTCCCTGTATCGTCTTTGTGCTTGTGAACTGCTGGAATTTTGGATATCAGTTCTGCTTGGGGGGAAAAAAGCAAATTACAATAATATAATTCCACTTCCCTTGGCAACTTCCAGTTGTGTAGACTTCAATTCCCAAAATTCTCATGAGAAGAGAAGAGAGGAGAGGAGAGGAGAGGAGAGGAGAGGAGAGGAGAGGAGAGGAGAGGAGAGGAGAGGAGAGGAGAGGAAGAGAAGAGAAGAGAAGAGAAGAGAAGAGAAGAGAAGAGAAGAGAAGAGAAGAGAAGAGAAGAGAAGAGACTTTGGAGGTCTTCCAGTCCGGCCCCCTGCTCAAGCAGGAGCACCTCTACTATTTCAGATAAGTGGCTGTCTAGTCTCTTCTTAAAAACTTCCAGTGATGGAGCACCCACAATTTCTGAAAGCAAGCTATATTGGCTATGGAATTCTGGGATCTGAAGTCCACCCACATCTGCAAATTCCAACTGTATTAAAAACTGAGACAGAGAATTTCTGGTCTCCCAGATGGAACTGAACTACGATGCCCAGCTTTCCTCTGCTTCGTCCATGCTGGCTGAAGCTGTTGTTCATCAACATCTGGAGAACCACACATTCCTGATTCAAGCAGTTGTGGATATCTCCCTCACTAAAGTCCTATCCACAGAGGCTGGGAAAACATCTGCTGGCAATGTTTTTACCACCGGATTTCTTATCTTGAGGTTGCTGGACCACCAGCTCTGTGAAGCTGGACCTTAATGTCTACATACCTTGGTGGTGGTACTGGAGGAGTCTCCATGTACTTTCGGTCATATATATGCATATCGTAGGAAGGAGGAGAATACACTGGAGGAGGCTCCTCATCTGAACTGTCTGGTTCCAAAGTCCGTTCCAGAATCTAAACCAAATAAGAAAAAAGGTACATATTTATTAGAGGGGTACCCAACCCCGGGTCCCTGGACCGGCACTGGGCCACGGCATGCCAGAAACTGAGCCACAGAAATTAAGCAAAGGGAAACATGATACCTGTACCTGCAACTGATTGGGATGTCCACTGGCGACAATTAGCATAGAGGAGCCTGGATAGCTCAACAGACAGAAGCACTGTAATTTAACACCAGCTGTCTGCAATTAAAGTAAGATTGAATCTCGCCAGGCTCAAGGTTGACTCAGCCTTCCATCCTTTCTAAGGTAGGTAAAATGAGGACCCAGATTGTGGGGGCAATAAGCTGACTTTGTATAAATATATACAAAAGTATGAAGGCTATTGCTTAACGCACTGTAAGCCACCCTGAGTCTCTGGAGAAGGGCGGCATATAAATCAAATTTTTTTTTAAAAAAAAGAGGGAGAAGTATATGGCAAGACATAGAGTTAGAACAGTGATTCTCAACCATGGCAACTTGAAGAGCAAGGCTGGCTGCAGAATTCTGGGTATTAAAGTTCACATATCTTCATGTTGCCAAGATTGAGAAACACTAAATTAGAGGAGGATGGGGGTTAGAAAAGGGAATTACAGCTGGTCCTCAATTTACGACCACATTTGAGTCGCAAATTTATGTTATTAAGTGAGACAGTTGTTAAGTGAGTTTTTTTTTATAGAAACTTTATTGAGGTTTTTTACAAACAAAGAAAAAGGAAAAAAAGGAAAAACAAACATTCAAACAAAAACATAAAACACATAAGTATAATAACATTTTCAATTAATATCGGATGTGCAGTGTTTTAACTATTTACATAAATAATACTTGGTGATATTTCAACTCACTTTTAACCGATATTTAACACACCTTTAGATCTTTCTTTCATCTTTCATTTCATGACAAGTTGTTAAGTGAGTTTTATCTCATCTTACATCCTTTCTTGCAACAGTTAAGTGAATCACTGCAGCTCTTAAGTTAGTATCACGGTTGTTAAGTGAATCTGTCTTCCCAATTGACTTGGCTTGTCAGAAGGTCACAAAAGATGATACGTGACCCCAGGACACTTCAACCGTCATAAATATGAGTCAATTGCCAAGCACCTGAATTTTTACCATGTGACTATGGGATGTTGCAATGGTCGTAAGTGTGAAAAACAGTCACGAGTCCCTTTTTTCAGTGCGGTTGTAACTTCAAACAGTCACTAAAGAAATAGCTGTAAATCGAGGACTTCCTGTATCAGTTCAGAGAAAGATTAAGAAATTCCAGTGAGACTGGGATTTTGGAAAACAGAAACTGGAGTTATAAACTCTCAAATTATGCCCTTGTAATCCATAATTCCATGACAGAATGCTGGTCTTCCTTCTAACTAACGCTAGCAAGCCTGTGCGAGGTTTTAATTGTCTGGGGATTTAAAATGGGTTTGTTTTAGCACTGTTTTATTGTTATGCTGTTTTTATTCTGTGAACTGCCCCGAGTCCTACGGGAGAAGGGCGACACATATAAGTTTGATAAAATAAATAAATAAATAAATAAATAAATAAATAAATAAATAAATAAATAAATAAATAAATAAATAAATAAAACAGTGTGTAGGTTGTGACTTTTGGAATGCTGGGGCCACCTTCCAAAACAAGCTAGCAAATTAAATTAAATTTGATACGATTTCATTGACATTTCAATGCAACGTATACTAATCCCTCAGCAGTAGGGCGGTATATAAATTTAATTTTATATTTAAATAATTAAATTTAATTTAATATTATATATATAAGGTCTTAGCAGATACACCAAGTTGACTCAATTTATTATTTGTGTATGAAATCTTAATCTGTTCACCACCCTGAATCCTTCGGGAGAAGGGCGGTATAGAAATTCAATAAATAAATAAATAAAATAAATAATTATAAATAAATAAATAAATATTTTTCGTCGGATCATTCTGCAGGCAGACATGAAACAATTGTTCTCCTTCTGTCCAGGGGTGGGCTGCTGGGGGTTCGCAAGGGTTTGGGAGAACCTCTAGCTAGGATTCTGTGCAGTTGGGAGAACCCCCAAATCCCACTCCTGGCTGGTCCTGCCCCGCCTGCCCCACCCCTCCCAGGAGTCTCCACGCAGCCCGTTTTGGATGCAGGTAAGTGCAGGATGCACGTGGAGGCTTGAGGAAGGTGAAAAACGGGCCTACCAGAAGTTTGGGAAGAGCCTCCGGTGCCTGGGGAGGCCGTTTTCGCCCTCCCAGAGGCTCGAGAAAAGCCTCCAGAGCCTGGGGAGGGCAAAAACGACACCGCACCCAGCCATGGTGGAGAAGGCTGACTAGGCCACGCCCACCATGGCCACACCCATCCAGCAACCAGGCAGAGAACCCCTTGCTAAAATTTTTGAAGCCCACCCCTGTTTCTGTCCCATTTTAAAAAACCAACAATTCGTTCACTTTTCCTGCAAAGAAAGGAACAAAGGAACTTAATTCTTGCAATGCAAAACCTAAACAGATTACAGTTACACTAAAGCGAAGACAACCTGTATCCCGGTCTGACAGATATTCAAATCTCCTTCCTATGCCTGCTTTTACAGCACTGAAAATGCCAACATTACGAAACCCCAAACGCTCGACAAGGAAAGCCCTGTTCACCTCGAGGGTCACAACACACACAGGCCTGAGAAATTTAGGCAAAGGGCCAACATTTTGTCCTTAAACTACCCTGCTAGCTCCCAATCACACCCTCCCCCCCCACCCACACACACACACCCCACAGCCAGGAGCTGTTAGGGAATGCTGGGACCCAGCCTGGGTTTTGGCAGGCAGGACATCTGCTATCAACTTGCTGGGAGATTTTCACACCCGTAAATAGTTGACAGTGTGCTGCACAACCCCAAATCTGCTTGCAGCTGTCTCTTTTCCCAAGTATTGGGCACAGTCTGCTTTAGTCAGAGCTGTTTTCTTACTAGGGCAGTGTTTTCTCAGCCTTGGCAACTTTAAGATGTGTGGACTACAACTCCCAGATGGCTGGGGGATTCTGGGAGTTGTAGTCCACACATCTTAAAGTTGCCAAGGCTGAGAAATATTGCATTGGAGAAGCTAATAGCTGATTGCACTTCCACACAGCCAACATTCGATCTACACAAACCTTCCCAAGCTATCTGTAATCTCTTCCTCTTTCCATTCTCATCCTAATCTCCTTTCCTTCAGATGGCTAATGGGGGAATGCTGTAGGACCGTGATGGCGAACCTATGGCACCAGGGGTGGGTTCCACTTACCTTTACTACCGGTTTGCAACGGGAACGCGCGCGCAGAAGCTTCTGCGCACACGCAGATCGTCCATGATGACGTCCGGGTGAGTGGATGGAGCCTCCCGCCGCCATTACTACCAGTTCGCAAGAACTGGACTGAACCGGGAGCAACCCACCACTATATGGCATGTGTGCCAAAGGTGACACGCAGCGCCCTCTCTCATGGCACGTGGGCCATTGCCCAAGTTCAGCTCTGCTGTGCATGTGGATGCCTCCCGGCAGCCAGCTGCTCTTCAGGTCTCTGCCGCGCGTGCATGCGGGGGGGTGCATGTGGGGGCCGCACATGCATGCAGGGGGCATGCGGAGGGGGCTTGTGCACATGCGCAGGGGGCATGCATGTGCAGGGGCCGTGTGCGCATGTGCAGGGGTGGGGTGCATACAGGGGGCCGCACACATACGCGGGGGAGCAGGTGCATGCATGGGGGCAGGGCACAGGAGCAGGGCCACATGCGCATTGCATTGGGGGGTTTGGGCATACACATTCACACGCGCATTCACACACGCGCTTTGGGCGCTCAATCCGGAAAAGGTTAGCCATCACTGCTGTAGGAGAATGTACGGATAACCTTGGGGGACAATCAGAAAAGAGAAGGAGGAGCCCTCGGTTGCTTAACGGTCCGAGAAAAAAACTTAGTAGGACCTTCCTTAATTGATCAGACCAATAAAACCGGCAGCGGGAAGTTATTATCATCAGACTTTCATGATTCTGTTCATGTATTCTTGCAATAAAGTAGATTTCGCTCATCTGATTGTGTCTTATGTCTGGTTGTCCAGGAGCATTGAGCAATGCAAAAGTCAGTAATTAAGTGATCAGAATGGAGCATGGCGGCTCATGTGGTTAAGACATGGGGCTGATGATTGGGTATGTCTAGTTTAATGAAAAGAAGGACTAGGGGAGACATGATAGCCGTGTTCCGATAGCTCAGGGGCTGCAACAAAGAAGAGGGAGTCAAGCTATTCTCCAAAGCACCTGAAGGCAGGACAAGAAGCAACGGATGGAAACTCAACAAGGAGAGAAGCAACCTAGAACTAAGGAGAAATTTTCTGACAGTTAGAAAAATTAACCAATGGAATGACTTGCGTCCAGAGGTTGTAAATGCTCCAACACTGGAAGTTTTTAAGAAGAGATTGGACAACCGTTTACCTGAAATGATATAAGGTTTCCTGCCTAAGCAAGGTTGGACTAGAAGACCTTCAAGGGCCCTTCCAATTCTGTTCCGTTCCGTTCCATTCCATTCCATTCCATTCCAATTCCTATTCTATTCCATATTTTCTATTCTATTCTATTCTATTCTATTCTATTCTATTCTATTCTATTCTGTTCTGTTCTGTTCTGTTCTGTTCTGTTCTGTTCTGTTCTGTTTCTGTTCTGTTCTGTTCTATTTCTATCCTATCCTATCCTATCCTATCCTATCCTATCCTATCCTATCCTATCCTATCCTAACCTATCCCATTCCATTCCATTCCATTCTCTGCAGGTTTGCATTTGAGACCCAGTTGCTGCCGCAGGATGGGGTGACCTCCCGTCACACACTCCAGCTCCTGCCGAACCAAGAGTTCGAAAGTGGGTGACCGCGAGTAGATAGATGGGTACCACTTTGGTGAGCAACTTAACAAGCACACAAAAGGAGCCCCACCTGAATGTCCAATGGGCATCCATGATGTCACTTTTCAATCCTTTCAACCTGGAAGCACTTCGGTGCTCCTGACACGAACCTAGTAGAACTATAGTAGTGATCAGAACGTCTCACGTCATCGTTTCCAACTGGGGTTGCAAGGGTTTTGCGGCAGATTAAAATAAAACCATCAGCTGCCAAGGAAGACATGCCACACCATCTTTCTGTTCCCCGCCCGGCTCCAGGCTGCCTTAGTCTCATTAAGGAAGAACGACAGCCAAAGTGGTGGGATTAGGGAAGAAATCCTGCCAGTGGAAAAAACACAGTGGGTTTTTTCTTCCTCTTGCGCTTGCTGGTGAGCCAAAAGTAACTTGGTTCAGCTGTCCAAAGAAGATGGTACTGTGAGAATATGAGGGCAGCGCCAACCCAGGAGTGATGCCAAGCTGCATGTGCAAATGCCCTCCATCTTGCTACAGTTGCTTCTGTGTCCCACCCATCCACCCCTTTTCTCTGCCTTTTCTTTTTTTGGCTTGTCTTTGCCATCTCGCAGAGGGAAGTGAAGGGGGAGGGGGATTCTGCTTTGTTCATGATCCAGGAATGCCTAAAAACCAAGTTCCATAAGTAAGCAAGCAATCTTAAAAACCTACCCCATACAGGCCATCCACAAAGGGAAGAAGGAGCCTGGTGGCGCAGCAGACTAATAGCCTGTTATTAACATTCAGCTGCCTGCAATTACTGCAAGTTCGAATCTCCCCAGGCTCAAGGTTGACTCAGCCTTCCATCCTTTCTAAGGTAGGTAAATTGAGGACCCAGTTTGTGGGGGCAATAAGCTGACTTTGTATAAATATACAAAAGTATGAAGGCTATTGCTTAACGCACTGTAAGTCGCCCTGAGTCTCCGGAGAAGGGCGGCATATAAATCAAATAAAAATAAAAATAAATAAAATAAAATAAATAAATAAAAGAAGGAGATGAAGTGACAATGTCACGATGTCGTTGTGACTTCTACCAGATGTCTGTTGACTTAAGTAGGGCCTTTTCAGATCCTGCAGCTTTAAGCTTTGGGATTCTTGGGCATCATTTGTCTTGAAAATGAAGCTCGTTTAAGAAATTTGGTTCTGGATTTCAATCCCTTCCTCTACTTTGGCCATGTTGATGGTCTGAGGTTCTGTCCAGATTATACTGACCAGACCCTTGATCGGTGAATTCACTTTATTCTAGGAAGGGAGGGAGGGAGGGAAGGAGGGAGGGAGGGAGGGAGGAAGGAAGGAAGGAAGGAAGGAAGGAAGGAAGGAAGGAAGGAAGGTTTTTCCATTCTTCCAGTCCTTTGAACTAGAAGGACAAAGTGGCAAGATTTTTGTCAATGTCACTTTTGTCAATTTCAGTGGCTTAAAGAAAAGCGAAGTCCATCCTTTAAGCTTTCCCCTCTTCCTTCAATTTTTGAAAATGAAATTGAAAAAGAAAAAGAGTTAGATTTCACTGTTCCATCAATTTTTGGATTTCGTTTAAAAGGGCGGGGGGTGGGGGGGAAGCCCAGTATTTCACTCTTTCACTTGTAAAATGAATGACCTGTGACAAGAGGATAGCAGGCATTCCTGCCACAGTGCATAGTAGCCAACTAGAACAGAGAAATGAAATGCAGCACACAAATTGGACCGTACCTGTTCGCAGAGGTGGGCTTCAAAAATTTTAACAAGGGGTTCTCTGCCTGGTTGCTGGGTGGGTGTGGCCATGGTGGGCGTGGCCTAGTCGGCCTTCTGCACCACGGCGGGGGGGGGCATTTTTGCCCTCCGGGGGCTCCGGAGGCTTTCCTTGATCCTCCAGGAGGGTGAAAACAGCCTCCCCAGACTCCGGAGGCCCTCTGGTGGGCGGAAACGAGCCCGTTTCCGGCCTTCCTGAACTTCAGGTAGGCCCATTTTTCACCCTCCCCGAGCCTCCATGCGTGCCCTGCACTTACCTGCATCCAAAACGGGCCGCATGGGGACTCCTGGGAGAGGCAGGGCTGGGTGGATGGGGCTAGCCAGGAGTGGGATTTGGGGGTTCTCCGAACTGCACAGAATCTTAGCTAGAGGTTCTCCCGAACCCCTGCGAACCCCCAGAAGCCCACCCCTATCTGTTCGTGTGTTGAGACCCTCAAAGGTGTTTTTGGACACCACCACCAAGCCACACCCACAGAACCGGTAGTAATTAATTTTAGATTTCACCACTGTCCAAAGCCTTCTCTTTCTCAGCAGCACCCTTCTTCCATCTTAAATAAGAGCCTGGTGGCTCAGCAGATTAATTAACATCCACTTACATCCCTGCAATTACTGCAGGTTCGAATCTCGCCAGGCTCAAGGTTGACTCAGCCTTCCATCCTTTCTAAGGTAGGTAAATTGAGGACCCAGTTTGTGGGGGCAATAAGCTGACTTTGTATAAATATACAAAAGTATGAAGGCTATTGCTTAACGCATTGTAAGCTGCCTGAGTCTCCGGAGAAGGGCGGCATATAAATCAAATTAAAAAAAACAAAAACAAAAACAAAACAGCAGAATATAGGTGCAAATCAGGTAAACCCAATCCTCTTCTTTCCTGACATTTAACTCGTGGTTTTTTCCCCTGCCACACAAGTTCAGAGATATTTCCTTTTGCCATTGTTTAAAAGGTGAATGAGTTACTAAAACAGTTATTCTCTGGAATAAAGCCTGCTGCCTTAACCACTAAACCAACAATAAGCAGTGAACATAAAAATTAAATCAAAAGAGAACATTATAAAGAATAATAATAGACGGTAGTATAATAACTTAATGACAGCATAATGGGACAATCACTTTTAACCCAAAGACATTAATACCGCTCTATAATGCCTTGGTAAGAGCACACCTAGAATACTGCATCCAATTTTGGTCACCACACTATAAAAAAGATATTGAGACTCTAGAAAAAGTACAGAGAAGAGCAAGGAAGATGATTAGGGGACTGGAGGCTAAAACATACGATGAATGGTTGTAGGAACTGGGCATGGCTAGTCTAGTGAATAGAAGAGAAGGACTAGCGGAGACATGATAGCCGTGTTCCAATATTTGAGGGGCTGCCACAGAGAGGAGGGGGGTCAATCTATTATCCAAGGCACCTGAAGGCCAGACAAGGAATAATGGATGGAAACTGAACAAAGAGAGATTCAACCTGGAAATAAGCAGAAATTTTCTGGCAGGGAGAACAATCAACCCATGGAAGAGAAGTTGCCTTCGGAAGTTGTGGGAACTTCATCACTGGAGGCTTTCAAGAAGAGACTGGGCTGCCATCTGTCAGAAATGGTGTTGGGTCTCCTGCTTGGGCGGGGGGTTGGACTAGATGACCTACAAGGTCCCTTCCAACTCTGTTAATCTGTTAATCACTTCCTCACATTGTGGTGACCTCACACATGCTATAAAGGTGGGATCCATCATTACCAGAGAGAGAGACTGAAGGACATTCTTGGGATTTGGATGGTAAAATAGTTTTGGGAGGAGAGTTAGGGGCTGTCCTGACCATTATTTTAATTTCTCACAATGTTATGTTGGGCATCCGAGGCAGTTAAAATGGAAGTTGGGTCTGGTTGGAGAAACACCGCCCCATACAATTTAGCACAAAAGAAAATCTCACCGAAAATCTTTCCTCAAACTTACAGCCAAACTTGCAACTACGGGTAGTCCTCAACTTACGACCGCAATTGAACCCCAAATTTCCACTGCTAAGCAAGACAGTTAAATGAGTTTTGCCCCTTTCTACAATTTCCTTGCCAGACTTGTGAAGTGAATCACTGCAGTTGTTAAGTTAGTAACATGGTTGCTAAGCGAATCTGGCTTCCCTACTGACTTTGTGAGAAGGTCGCAAAAGGAGATCCCTTGTCCACAGGACATTACAACCGTCATAAATATGAGCCAGTTGCCGACCGTCCAAATTTTGATCATGGAGATGCTGCGACAGTTGTGAGCATGAAAAATGATTCACTTTTAACAGTGCCGTTGTAACTTTGAATGGTCACTAAATCGAGGACTACCTGTTTTCCGAAACATGGGAAAAGTTTACCTCCGGAGGAATGCTGTCATCCGAATCAGAACTCTCATCACACTCGCTGCAGTCCAAATTCATCTGTAGCAGTTGATCGATGGTGGCATCTACCGCACCATTGTTGGCCCTCAAGACGCATTCAATGATGTCATAATCCATGTTGGGGAACATAGTCTTGAAATCCTCCATCGCCTGGTTAAACTCCAGCCTCCGTACTTGCCTTGCGGGGCGGCTATTGTTAAGTTCTTGAGCGGAAGAGCTATTCCTCGAGCCGCCATTGCTGCTGCTCCTTCGGAACAGACTTGTCATTTTGGATAACCGTTTTTGGAAAATGTTTAAACTTTTTCAAATCGGCTTTTGAGGTAGGAAAAGGAAGAACCGAGAGAAGAAATGTATAAACCCAAGGAGAAGGGAGGGCGAGGGGCAATCTGCCTTCCAGTGTTCTGGTCAAGAAGAAGCAACGTAAGCGCTTTGTGGAACGACTGGCAGATAATCCACCACAAAATGGCGGCACATTGGAGATGGCGAAACAAGATGGCGCCGAGGAAGTCTGCAGAGTTTCAGTCCTGGATCGATCCACCACAGGAGGAAATTGTTGGAGAAGGACTTCTTCAGAGATATAAGAGCGTCCAAAGCCCCAGATGCATTTCTTTTACTGAAAAATGAAGAAATGTGGTTTTAAAAAGGAGTAAGCCATGTTATAATATAGAAAATTGATATCAGTATCTCTCCCAGCCTCCCTTATATAAGACTTTTCGGTAGTTTTGCGGAACTCGAGATGAGTTTGCAGAAGAAATTCCTGATTTTTAATTATTATTTTTTTGCCACAGATAGTTCTTGATTTACGACAGTTCGTTCTGTGACTGTTTGGGGGGGGCAGGGATTTTTGCTACCGGTTCTCCGAACCACCCGCCTCCATCGCTACCAGATCGGGTGATCCAATCCGAACCGGGAGCATTTCACCCCTGACATGACCGCAGGACACTGCAACCGTCATAAACTGAGTCAGTTGTCAAGCATCCGAATGTAAATCACGTGACCATGGGGATACTGCAATAGTCGTAAGTGTGAAAAATGGTCCTAAGTCACTTTTTTCAGGGCCGTGGGAACTTCGGTCACTAAGCATAATGTTGTAAATTGAAGACTACCTGTAAACAGTGAGGCAGATTTTGTGGACTAAAGGATACAAACATTATTACTCAAAAGCAGGAATCCTCAGGACAGGAAAACTTTGTTCTACCTAAAGACAGATGGCTTAATAAAATTTCAATTCTGGTTAGAATTTAGAATGTTTATTTAAAGATATAGGTCCGTGATGGTGAACCTATAGCACGTGTGTCAGAGGTGGCAGGCAGCGCCCTCTCTGATGACACGTGAGCCGTCGTCCCAGTTCAGCTCCGCTGCGCATCTGCGCGTGCCTCCCGCCAGCCAGCTGGTCTTCGGGTCTCTGCTAGCCATATGGGGGGGTGCATGCAGGGGGCCATGAACTCATGCACAGGGGGGCAGGGACGTGCAGGAGGACCACGTGCACATGCGTGGGGGGTGCGGGGTGCGCATGCAGGGGCTGCACACACATTCAGGGGGGGTGGAGCGCATGCGCAGGGGCCACACGCTCATTGCATTTTGGGGATTTGCGTGAGCACTCGGTCCAGAAAAGGTTAGCCATCACTGATATAGGTAGTCCTTGGTTTAAAAACGAGATTAATTCCTAAATCTGCCTTTTAAGTCAAATGTGTACATAAGTTGAGCTGGAACAAGAGCCGACAGAGATCGAGAGGGCGGCTCCCTTGGCCTTGGAGGAAACTGGGGAAGGGCAGAATCAGTCCGGGCAAGGCTTTTCAGGATTAGAAAGGATTGCAGACAAGGAGGAGCAGGAGAGACAGAGTCCAGGCGAAGAGCCAGGACCATCCCCTCCTGATCCTAGAGCACGCAGAGAAGAGAGAAGGAGAGAACAACGCAGACCAAGCCGGCTACAAGGGAGGAGAATGCTCCGCCCCCCTTTCACAAGGCATACCTGGGGATTGAGATGTAAGGAGGTGCTGTTGGGAGGTGCATTTGTCGGGAACAAGCGTGGAATCTTGTGTGCACTTGCCGACGCCTGGAGGTTACTGTTTAGCTAAACCTGGCTTATTAGACTGCTGGCCCTGGTTACTGTATGGCTAACCTTGCTTACTGGACTACTTGCAGCCAGAGTCTGCAGAAGGTGTATGTGAGAGCTTTGCTCCAGGACTTGTAGTAAACACGTTTGGGGGCAAAGTTGGATCAATAAAGGGGAGTTAGACCAGTTCTCTGGCTGTGTTGCTTTCGTGCCACGCCACAGGTCATCACAGCGGGTAGTCCTCAACTAATGACCTTTTTTGCCACGGTTGTTAAGCAAATCACTGCAGCCGTTAAGGGAACCATGGGGCCATTTAGCAAATCTGGCTTCCCCCATTCACTTTGCTTGTGTGAAGCCGCCTGGGAAGGCTGCAAATGGCAATCCCATTTGGGATACTAAACAAGTTGTAAATACATGCTGGTTGCCAAGCGCCCAAATTTTGATCCCGTGACCATGGGGATCAGGGGTGGGTTCTAATTTTTTTTACTACCGGTTCTGTGGGCGTGGCTTATTTTGTGGGTGTGGCTTGGGGTCATGTGACTAGGTGGGCGTGGCTAGCTGGTCAGAGTCATTTCTGGAAGGTCCTCACACTTACGACCAGACTCATTTGTTTGCTTTTAACACTGATCAGCTGTAGGACGGCCCTTTGAAGCCCCGCGGCAAGAGTTTAAACAGTTTTTTTCCCTCTAGTCATCAGCTGGGACTCAGGAGGCAGCAATAGATTGGGGGTGGGACCAAATAAAAGGTAAGAATAACGTGGGGGGGTGGGGGGTGGGAGGGCGGGGGGGAGAACCGGTTCGGTGACGTCATATTGTCACCGCTACCGGATCGGCTGAACCAGATCGAACCAGGAGGAACCCACCACTGATGGGGATGCTGAGGGTCATAAGTGTGAAGACTAGTCGTAAGTCACATTTTTCAGTGCCATTGTAACTTTGAATGGTTGTTAAACAAATGGTTGTTAAGTTGTGGGCTTCCTGTAACTTGATTCACTGTGTAACATGCACTCACAAAATCATGGCTACCGCTTATCCGCGGCAGTTTAGGAGAGTCCAACTTTCAGAGGCCAGTCTAGGAAACTGTCTGTTTTGAAAGAGCCAGATACTCCTACAGCTCAGAGCAGAACGAAATCAGTGCCCAGGGGATGGATGGAAAATGTGTGTCATGCCCACAGCAGCCTAAAGCAGCCGAGAGATGTTAATTGATCCCACTCCTTATGAGTCACCTGACTAAGACAGTGGACAGTGAAGTGAATTTGACGTACTCATGGTAAAATTACTGTAGCCGATTGCCTATCTAAATGAAAAAGTCTACTTTAATACATCTACTGAGATTCTCAGTCATCCAGGTCATGGTTGTCCCAAAGGTGCTTTTTCAAGAGGCAACTGGACTTTCCATTTTTTTTTTCTTTGAAGTAATTTCGCTTCTCATCCAAGAAGCTTCTTCAGCTCTGACTGGATGGTGGGGAATGGAAAAATTTATACCCCTTGCAGACAGCCGGTCATTTGCATTCTTTTTAGAGAGTCGTTGAGGCCACTTGGGGGTTTATCTGTGTCCTCAGGGTCACCCGAGTAGTGCAAATGGGTGTGGAGTCTACTTGGAACTGCTGAAAAGACTGTATTGTAGTACTTTAAGTACATTGTGTTGTACTTTAATACTAGAACAATTAAAGACAACTTTAAGCTGTCTGAGACTTGATAGAAAACACACAGAAAGAACTTACCCAAACATCTGGGGAAGATCCAGATAATTGTTTTATTGACTATAGTTGAGTCACTGACTCCAAGCCTCAAGGACAAAGTATCTGCATATCCAAATCCAGCCTATGTTTATTTCTAGCAGGGTGGATAAAAATCAATGATTTTTTTAAAAAAAAATCAAAAAAATCAGATTTTTTTTATTTAAATCGGATTTTTTTGATTTTTATCGAATTTATTTTAATAAAAAAAATTTGGGGTAAAAATCTATCATAAAATAGTTTTCTATTTAAGATACATAAATAATTTAGTTTATTCAGCATGAAATGGAGCTTAGTTATGTAGCATGAGGCTGTATATTCTGCAACACTGGGACTATCGAGTCAACAGTGGGTCAAAGGAGTAGCAGAGATAACACTTGCTCTTTAAAAATTATGATTTAAATTGAGTTGATTTAAATCAAGCCTTTTTACTAGTGATTTAAATCATGATTTAAATTGTGATTTAAATCAACTCGGTTTAAATCAAATCCACCTGATTTCTAGAACCAATCATACAAGGAAAAGATGTATGTTTGTATGTATGTATGTATGTATGTATGTATGTATGTATGTATGTTTGTTTTGGGGACCCCTAGAACTAATGGCACTTATAGGCAGTCCTTGAGGATATGGCCCTCTAACACAAGGAGAGGAAATCACTCTTCAAAGTCAACACTAAACCAGTATGATTGCTTTGGGCCATGTGAAAATTCATTTTGAATAAATTATCATGATCTAAAGATCAAATTTTTTAAAAGCCACTGGAGAAAATGGGATAATTTTACTGAAGGCAAAATATTTCTTCACTCAATCTTCCATTATTATTATTATTTTTTCAACAACCTTAACTAGTTAAAATATTTCTGTGCAATATATTTTTCCCCTCAGTAATCCAAGGTTGTTCTGCAGCATCTCAATACAGAACTAATAGGCCCATTTCATTGACACTCGCGCCGTGCTTTTCTGTTAGGTCCATGGTGGGTTTCAAATAATTTAACAACCGGTTCTCTGCCCTAATGACCTGCTGGGTGGGCGTGGCCATGGTGGGCACAGCGAGGGGTCGTGACATGCAGCATTCGGCCTCCTGGGAGCAAAAATGGGCTGCGGGGGGCACGCGGTACCCCCCACGCCCCATTTTGGGCCTAGTAGGCCTCCCTACACTTACCTGTGAGCCAAAACAAGGCGCATGGGGACTCCTGTAAGGGATGGGGCGGGGCCAGCCAGCAATTTAACAACCGGTTCGCCCGAACCAGCTGAATCCCACCACTGGTTAGGTCCCAAACACTCCTGAACAATTTATCAAGAGGTGAAATCCACAGCTTAGAAGACTGGAATAATAATAATAAACCCCTCTAAATGGACATGTTAAAAGTCTACAGCTCAGATCCAAAATAAATACCTCAGATCCACAAGAGGAAACAAAAATCATTCCATTTCCATCAAGCGGCACACAGGAGATTTCAAAACTCAAAAGAGATAGCAGAACTTAAAAGGCAAATTAGGTTTAACACCATGAGAAAACAATTGGACATAAGACGGACGGCTATGTAAATGTTATAATTAAATAAATGCCCTCTTATCGTATGAATGTCTTATGCACTAAAATTCTCTTCTTGTGCTAATCATGTTCCTAATCTAACTGCAGCCCTTGACTGGAATATTCTTAGGTATTTTATGGAGTAAATGAGCTCTAGTGAAGAGCACCATGGGATGGCAATAACTCTTCAAGAATATTGCTGTTTTGATTTGTATAATTATCAGTTTTATTACCTGATGTGTTCAAAGTATTCTATTTCTATCCCTGTGATACTGTCATTACATATACGGCCCACTGTATAGGTAGCCCGCGACTTACGACCACAATTGAGCCCAAATTTTCTGTTGTTAAGTGAGACATTTGTTAAGCAACTTTTGCCCCATTTCTTGACTCAGTTGTTAAGTGAATCCCAGCAGTTGATAAGTCAGCAACTGGGCTGTTAACTGAATCTGGCTTCCCCATTGACTTTGCTTGTCAGAAGGGGACAAAGCGACGGTCATAAATATGAACCAGTTGCCAAGCATCTGAATTTTGATCACGTGACCGAGGGGATGCTACAAAGGTGGTAACTGCGAAAAATGGTCCTAAGTCACTTTTTCAGTGCCGTTGTAACTTTGAAGGGTCACTAAACGAACTATTGTAAATCAAGGACTAGGAAGGAGCAAGGGGCGTGGCCAAAAAACTATGACTCAGTCTCTAGGCAGATCCGACTGTAGCAACCCATGTCTGGATGATGCCACAGCCTCACTGGAGAAGAAGGGCAGTACATGTAGTCCTCAACTTACAACTACAGTTGGGACCAGAGTTTCTATTGCTGAACAACAACAGCTGTTAAGTGAGTTGTGCCCCATTTTATGATTTTTTCTGCCATGTTTGTTAAGCGAATCACTGCACTTGTCAAGTGAAACACTCAGTTGTTTAGCGAATCCGGCTTCCACAGCTGATTTTGTTTGTCGAAAGCCAGTTGGGAAGGTCACAAATGACAATCACAAGCAAGTTATAAATTCATGCTTGTTGACAGGGACCTAAATTTTGATCACTTGATCATGGAGATGCTGCAAGAGTTGTAAGTGTAAAGACAGGCTGTAAGTGACTTTTTTCAGTGCCATTGTAACTTCGGTCATTAAACAAATGGTTGTAACTCGAGGACTACCTGTATTATGGTTTATCTTAAAGGTGTTCATTCTTCCTTCTTAAATCTATTTTGCATTTGTCCATTTACAACTGATTGGGAGAAACTCAACCTTCTCCACGTTGGAGGTACTTAAGGGAATCCGTTTGAGGGTAGAGAGAAGCAGCAGGCATTCCTGTAACCCCTGACTCTCCACCAATACTAACCCCTTAAGACAGGGGTGTCAAACTTGATTTCACTGAGAGCCGCATCAGGGTTGTGTTTGACCTCGGAAGGCTGGGGTGTGCGTGGCCAGCTCAATGTCACTCGTGTTGGGGGCGCCTGTGGTGGCCCAAGAGCTCTGCCAGCGATAACGGGATCCCGAGCTCTGTTTTCGGCTGTGACGGCCTCCTGCAACCCTGTGCCAGCGAAAACGGAGCTCGGGAGGGTCGTGTGCGGCTCTCCCCATCTCCATTTTCGCTGGCAGAGGCACCGTAGGCGGTCCTTTGCTGTTTCCAGGTCGGCCCTGCAGACCAGATCTAAACACCCCGTGGGCCAAATCCGGCCCCCGGGTCTTGAGTTTGACGCCCCTGCCTTAAAATAACTGCCTGTCTTAGTCTAACAGATAAACCTTGGAATTTTAGGAAGTAAGAGTTGAAAATCCATACCTTCAGAAGTATATTGAACATGGAAAAGATTTTTCAGGGCCACATCACCGTCTCATTCCTCCAATAATTCTGAACGAACTGTTTCTGGTCAAGGCAGAGAAAGAGATTCTTCCACTGTCTGTCCACAAGGATGGAGAAAAAGGCATAGCAACCTACAAAAAAAAAAAAAAAAAAAACAACCCCACACGTTTTAATCTAAGTCATTTCAGATATTATTGCATGCAATTTATGGACGTGGGCAAAATCCAGTCAAAAAAACAAAATGAATGAAGGTGAATGGTCACTAAATTAACAGTTTTAAATTGAGGATTACCTCAAGTATATTTGCTGAGGCTTTATTTAAACTTATATTTGTGTCTGTATGTATAATGTGTTTTGTTAAGGTTGTATACCAGTGATTGCATGACCTCTGTAGATGCCATATATGCTAAATAAAATAAATAAATAAAACTGAATGGCCAGAAACAACTGGAAGTAGGCAATCAAATTTGATTCAGGTTTGAGACATGCATGGGACATTGCCAATCATATAGAAAAAGTGGGGAGTTGGCATCATAACACAGCTTTCATCAGTCTGACACACACACACAAACGATCTTACCCTTACATCGATGCTCCATAACTCAATAGCTTTTGAGAGATCTGTTCATGAATGTATTTAAGCTGGTCATGGAATGACCCATTTTGAGGTTTATACAAGGCACTGAACCATAAATGAACCAAGCAACAAACATAATTAGCACATCATGCAAATGCCATCGCTCTAAATTCAAACTTGTGGATGATGCTAGAGGAGGAGGAGAAAGAAGTTGTCCATCGCAGAACAACTCTGTCCACTGCATAAGGTAAAAATAAAGGTTCCTCTCACACATATGTGTTAGTCTTTCCCAACTCTAGGGGGTGGTGTTCATCTCCGTTTCAAAGCCGAAGAGCCAGCGCTGTCCAAAGACGTCTTCGTGGTCAGGTGGCCGCCATGACTAAACGCCAAAGGCGCACGGAACACTGTTACCTTCCCACCAAAGGTGGTCCCTATTTTTCTACTTGCATTTTTTTTAACGTGCTTTTGAACTGCTAGGTTGGCAGAAGCTGGGACAAGTAACGGGAGCTCACCCAGTTACGCGGCACTAGGGATTCGAACCGCTGAACTGCCGACCTTTCGATTGGCAAGCTCAGCGTCTTAGCCACTGAGCCACCGCATCCCATCCACTGCATAGAAACAAACAAACAAACAAAAAGTAAGAAAAACAGCTAACCACATCAGAACTTCTTTGTACAGGTAGTCCTCGACTTATGGCGACCAGTGAGCCCACAATTGCTAAGCAAGACAGTTGTTAAGTGAGTTTTGTCCCATTTTACGATCTTTCTTGCCACAGTTGATAAGTAAATCACTGAAGTTGTTAAGTTGTTAAGTTAGTAATATGGTTGTTCAGTATATCTGCCTTCCCCATTGACTTTTGCTTGTCAGAAGGTCGCAAAAGGGGATGACATGACCCCAGGACACTGCAACCGTCATAAATATGAGCCAGTTGCCATGCTTCCAAATTTTTGATTAAGTGACCATGGAGATGCTTAACAACCACAACATTCACCTTACGACCACGGAATGATCTGCAGATTCCATTATGGTCATAGTCAAGGACTACTTGTAGATAGGAGCCCAAACTCTCAAGGTGAGCTACCATCAGTGGTGGGTTGCCCCCCGGTTCGGTCTGGTTCTATAGAATTGGTAATAAAACCGGCGGGAGGCTCCGCCCACCTGCCATGACATCATCACGGGTGATCAGCGCATGCACAGAAGTGTGAGCGAAGCGAGCATGCACATGCACTCCCATTGCAAACCGGTAATAAAGGTAAGTAAAGAGCCTGGTGGCGCAGCAGACTAATAGCCTGTTATTATCATTCAGCTGCCTGCAATTACTGCTAGTTCGAATCTCCCCAGGCTCAAGGTTGACTCACCCTTCCATCCTTTCTAAGGTAGGTTAAATGAGGACCCAGTTTGTGGGGACAATAAGCTGACTTTGTATAAATATACAAAAGTATGAAGGCTATTGCTTAACGCATTGTAAGCCGCCCTGAGTCTCCGGAGAAGGGTGGCATATAAATCAATTTTTTTAAAAAAAAGTAGAACCCACCCCTGGCTACCATGTTTGAAGACTGACTTAATTCTAGATCTTCTTAATCCCAGTTTAACACCTTAAGTCAATGGCAATAATTTAGAACAGCTAGATCCCAGTAAATTAGATTTTGAGGTATAGTTCGCTGAACAGAACGTATCATAGTCAGCTGGTTTGCACATAGGACAATGCTGAATGAACTGGCTTATCTATTATGCTAAAAGCAAACAAATCACATTGTGGTTTTCTGAAGTGCAACCAGGCCCTGGTTTGCCTTGACATGTGGGAGATTCCTGTCTTTGCAATTAAAAGCTCACTTTAGAATGAGTCTTTCTCTGCGGGACAAATGTTTATTCAGCTTATGATTCTCAATTTTGGATCTGACTTCAGGGAAGAGTCCAAGAAGATTGAACGTTTCCTCATAAATCTCCAGAGCTTTGTTGTTGCAAACTGGGAAATGTGCCAAGACGGTTTTGGAACAGCATTATTAGCTGGGAAGTAAAGGGACGTTAACCGGATGGCAGATTGCCTTCAATTAAAGGAACATCTCCAAGGTACAGGTAGTCCTTGACTTTGGGCCAAAAATTGAGCCCAAAATTGCTAAGCAAGATAGCCGTTAAGTGAGTTTTGCCCCCTTTTACAACATTTCTTGCCACAGGTGTTCAGTGAACCATTGCCGTTGTTAAATTAGTAACATGGTTGTTAAGTGAATCTGGTTTCCCCATGGACTTTGCTTGTCAGAAGGTCGCAAAAGGGGATTGATCACATGAGCCTGGGACATTGCGACTGTCATAAATATGAGCCAGTTGCCATGCTTCCAAATTTTGATCAAATGACTGTGGAGAAGATACTACAATGGTAGTTATTTATAACATTTATTTATTTATTTATTTATTTATTTATTTATAAAATTTATTTATTTATTTATAAAATTTATTTATAAAATTGACATCAAACTGTAGATTAGATTGTACTGGAAGACTGCTCACATATCACTGCCAGTCCTTCTCTTCATTAGACTAGAGACATACCCAGTTCCCACACTTCTGGGAAGCTCACCCGTGGCATTTAAAAGATCTTTGCTGAACATCTGGAATTCTGGCAGATACGTTCTCAAAACATGGAACTCCACTAGAAAACAGCTGCACATGTAACCAAGCTATCAATTCTCAACAAGATGAGGAATAATTCTCCTCCTTGCTCCTTGAAATAAAATAATCTAGGGAGAAATAAATATTATTTATGATGAGACTAACTTCAAAGTCGTGACAAAAATTGTTGGGTATTAAATGCTTTCTTCTAACTCAGGGGTCTCCAACCTTGGCAACTTTAAGACTTGTGGACTTCAACTCCCTCTCAGTGGCTGAGGAATTCTGGGAGTTGAAATAAGTTAGACCCCTGTTCTAACTTATTTCAGCTCTTACACACACACACAGCCTGCCTAAGCAATACACAGATGCCCATCTGCCATGCCTGCTGCCAGCCCCCAGCCCCAGATCAAAGCCATATTGTCCTCTTCCTGCATTTGTCCACCAGCACCTCTTTCCAAGTTCTTAAACACATGTTTCTCCTACGCAAACCAAGCCATGGAAAACTCTTCATTCACAACATTTGGCATTCAGACAGGTTTTACCCGTAAAAGGCTCCTACGTGCCTCATTCAAAGCTTTTTTCATTTGGTCTGGGCCTTGCGCAGTTGGAAATTCTCAATCATTTTCCGCAAGAGACCACAAACGCAATTCGTGATTCTAGCTCGGAAGCTGGCAGGGTGCTTCTCTCAGGACAACTGAATGGGGCAGCTGGAAGGGGGGGGGGTGACGGGGGACAAAGGAAGTCTATTTTCACATTCTGAAAGGAGTTAAACTTGCCAAAAATCTCCTGCCTGTTTTCTGATCCAAGAGCTGCAGACGTGTTGCAGTTAGAAATGCTAGCTGGTCCTAGACTTTCTATTATAAGTCTACAGTGATACATGAAATATTAGTACCACTTTATAAAGCCTTGGTAAGATCCAGAGGTGGGTTTCAGCAGGTTCTGACCAGTTCTGGACAACTGGTAGCGGAAATTTTGAGTAGTTTGGAGAACCGGTAGTAAAAATTCTGACTGGCCCCGCCCCCATCTATTCTCTGCCTCCCAAGTCCCAGCTGATCGGGAAGAAATGGGTATTTTGCAGGAACCTTCCCCTGGATTGGGGAGGGAATGGAGATTTTACAGTATTTTTCCCCTGCCACACCCACCAAGCCACTCCCACCAAGCCATGCCACGCCCACCAAGCCACATCCACAGAACCGGTAGTAAAAGAATTTGAAACCCACCACTGGTAAGATCACACTTGAAATATTGAATCAAGTTTTGGTCGCCACTATATAAGAAAGAGGAGATCAACCCTGACTGCTCTTTAGAAGGCCAGATCCTGAAGATGAAACTCAAATATTCTGGCCACCTAATGAGAAGGAAGGACTCACTGGAGAAGAGCCTAATGCTGGGAAAGATTGAGGGCAAAAGAAGAATGGGACGACAGAGAACGGGGTGGCTGGATGGAGTCACCGAAGCAGTCGCAGTGAGCTTAAATGGACTCCAGAGGATGGTAGAGGACAGGAAGGCCGGGAGGAACATTGTCCATGGGGTCGCGATGGGTCAGACACAACTTCGCAACTAACCACCAATATAAAAAAGATGTCGAGTCTCTAAAAAGAGTGCAGAGAAGAGCAAGAAAGATGATTAGGGGTCTGGAGGCTAAAACATTGCGAGCACTTGCACAAGGGGGGGCCACAAGTGCCTGTGACAACAGTTGCATGAGTGGGGCTGCAAATGTCCGCACTCCTCGTTGTGATGCTTGCGCAAGCAGGCCTGTGTGTGTGCGCGCACACACACACACTGTCCAGCTACTCATGCAGCCTAGTGGCCAATAAGCTGTGGCCCAAAGTCCCTTCCAACTCTGGAATTCTGTTAAGTAAGCTGTAGAAGTAGAGACTCCTTGCATCCAGCTTCTGGTGTCTGCATAGGCATGTTCAGGTAGCTTGACAACCATACGAAAAACAA